ATATCTTTATCGCAGAGACTGCAGCAAAGACTGCCTTGATACAGGTTCAGCTTGTTCACGTAACACTGGACAACCATATGTTCTGTCAAAAGACCTTTTGTTATCTGTACTTTACTCCTGCAGAGCTGTTTCTTTGTGGTTTTAGCTTTAGTTTTAGTCAAAGACATTATAAATATAGACCGAACATCTCATTCATAAATACTCGTTGGTAGTGTATCAAACATTCCAATGTGTCAAACAAGGACATAAGAGACAGAGAAGTCTAAAATTTCCGACCCCGGCAACTAGGCGCATTTGGATTGTTCTAATGGCCAGTGGCGTATCGTTTTTTGGAACCAATTTAATTAGTAAAGTAAAAGTAAAGTAATTAGTAAAATGTTTATTCCATATTAATATACTACATTAACACTTTTTCGTCAGATGAGTTTTGTTATAAGGTCTAATATAATAATATAATTAATATCCCACATATACTTATGTTGAAACGTTAGTAGGTAGTTTTCGAAAATCGCTCCAACGTCGATTTCCAATTTAAACTTTCAGTTAATTCTATATAAACTTTCAGTTACTTTTGAATATTTACAGGGTGACTCAGGCTTCCGAAACAGTTCTATATTAGGTTTGTGGTTGGTGACTTTTCTTTCAATTTTTTTTTTTCAGAATATGGAGGCAATGGTAAAGCACATTTTAGACATTTTTGTAAACATAGGTGGCCGGAACATATTTTCAAACTAAAGTTGTAGATTTGCCATTAAATTTACATTCCAGAAATACCTAGGGTTGTCACCTATCCTTTTTTGAAAAGGACAGTCCTTTTTTTGGAATAATTTGTCCTTTTGGAATTAATTTGTCCATTTTTATTTACGTATTTTCGCTGAGAAAATTACCTACAGCAAACAGAAATATTATTTTCGTCCAAATTTAATTAGAGATGTTATAAAACTATGTTATAAATAAATTTTTCTTGTTTAGAATAGGCAACATTATTTAGAACTTCCCGTTTAATCTCAAATGATAATTTAGGTTTAAGTTTTACCTTTTTTGATCTTAAAAAGAACTTTTTAAAATTAGTAATTAGTAACGATTTAGTTAGTCCGCAATCGATAGCTTCCTGTAAAGTACTGTGTAATAGTTGTTTAATCTTGTATTATTAATAACTTCCTATACCTAAAATTAATATTTAATGAGAAAATTGTATTTTTTGAAAATATAAGACAAGATTTGACTTTCGGTCTTCTTCTTGTATTATGATGGCTCTGATACGAGGCAATTACCTTTTAGTCTCTCAATAGAAGGCATTTATCATTAAAAGTATCAAATCTGTGTGCTACAGTATGGGATTTCTGTCGCATAATAATGAATATTACGTTTATTTACAAATCCATTACTTTTAAAGGTAGCTTCATCAGACAATCAAATTTTAGTTAAATGTCCCAATCTTCATGAACTGTATTAAGCATATGTATAGCGGTTTGAATCACCCTGTATGTTGACAAAATATTTTGAAAATGTGTTACAATGGCCCCCATCTTATGTAAAAATTGAAATAAAATTACAAACCAAAAACGTAATAGGTAAAAAGCTTTTTTGGAGGCCTGGGTCACTCTGTATATAGGTATGTATAAAACTAGTAGCCTAAGAATTATTTACAGTTCGTCCCATTCTAAAAAAAGGTAAACACACCGTACAAATAACTCTAGGAAGAGGTATTTGTACGGTGGTAAAAAATTGTTTAAACGAGGCCGAAGTGGCAGATATAATAATGCAATAAAATGTGAAAAGGGGCGGGTAAACACCTTTGTTTATTTGTTGAGCAATATTCCTTTAGAATATCGTATATAATGACCAAAATATGACGCAATTTTAAGAAAAAAAATGTCACTTTTTTTCAAATGCAACGTTTATATTCAAATTTGTTATGATCTACAACAGTTAAGTAGTAATTGAGACGAATTATAATTCAATTACCGGCTACTACGTTCTTGTTTTAATAGCTCAAAATTCAACAAATATAATTAGAATTTTTTTTAATTGTGAGAGGCTCCCTTGTGGGACGCCTATGTACGGCGATTACGGCGCGGCGGAAACAATACCTACCTGTGAAAAGACAAATTCCGGTAATTTGAGCTTATTTTTCCACACATTTGACACTGTCGTACCATATTGAAAATTCGCAGATTCAAAAGTACGTTAAACAAAAAGCAAAACTACTGAAAAACACTGAAAAGTTCACTTCGGACTTGATTCTGACTTCAAACACACCGTAAGCTAAACGTAGTACGCTATAACGGACCAAGGGCCGTCGCGAGGGGTGGTGGGACGGACGGCTCATTTCATTCTGGAAGACTAGCAGCGACGTTGCCAATAGTTCTAGACGTTTCAGCACATTAAACAGTAAACATGTCCTTTAATAGTAACGCATATATCCTCTGGTGAATAACCATATTATTACGCATGCTTCTTTAAAAATAAACTATTAATTTAATTAAGAAATTGAGATTTATTGATATCCGGTGAAGGTTTTAAAGTCACCTTTTCTGCAAATCAAACTAAGTAGATAGGCGCAAATTTGAGATGTGGCAATGTCGCCTTCTCTATCTCAGTTGGTTTTTACAGTACGTAGTCAACCTCCGATTGTTTGATCGGGTTAAAATGCAAAATGTGATATCTGTTCTTCCTAAATCTATGGTTTTAGTAATTCTAAAACCATGGTGATAATAATAAATATTTTATATATTCATATCATAGATAAAGGAAATAAATTTATATTGGAATGCTTGGCTTCCCGCTAAAACGTATAGTTGTTTTGGGTCGCATACGTTGTACGGGATCTGGCACTTCTATAGCGGTTGCTAAAAACAACCGCAAACAAGAATAGAAAGAATTTTCTCTTGTCAAAGTCAGAATCTTCAAAAATTATAAAATCTTTCATAGTTCATCTTCAAGACGATAAAATGGTATTTTGTCGTCGACGAAAAAGATTAATTCACAAGCGATGAAATCGCGAGTGAATTAATTTTGGGAGACGATAATGCAATTTTATCGTCGTGTACAGTACGTCTGTCCGTTCTGTAGCTACGGGGTATCCGTGAGAGGGGAAACGATATTCTCTCGATGTTTTTCGTAAAAAATTAGACGACGCGTCCCATCAATAAAAATTCGACAAATTTGCAAGTGGCCAATAAAATGAGTGGGCGGAGCGATTTGCGGTGACGTACTCGTCAAGTCGACGTATAAAATATATTGCTGTTTATTTAAATGTTTTTTGTCCGCATTCCTTTCATAGACACAGATCCAGCAGACGTACTGTATAAAACGATATTTTTTCCATAGCGAGTTACGTTTTAAAAAATATTCAGAAATTATTATTTCAAGGAATTTATTACGAGTAGAAAAAATATTGTGCTGGTTTGGCGTTGGTTTCTATGTAATTTGACAAATAAATAAAGCTCATATTTTTCGTCAATAGAGAGTCAACTATCTACTATTTTTCATAGATATAAGGCAATTTTAATATTTGCTATGGAAAAAAATTTAAATAATACGCCCGCGTTGAAAAAACACCGAAAAGTGTTTACAGCGTTCATTTTCAAAGTAATTATTGCTATCTTGTAAGTTTAATTTATATCTGCATTTATTTAAATTTTGTTCACTCAAACCCCTGATAATTATTGTGAAAAACTGGCATTAAATAAAACTTAATCTGTGTGAACTGTGAACTGCAAAAACCATTGTGGCATAACGTCGGTTTCCAATATTTCATAGGTATTTCATGTCCTTATATAAAGTAAAGTTTATTATATGCAACACACTACGTTTTATTTATAAAATTAAAATAAAATAATAATAAATTTGAATAAATAATATATTTGGCGACATAATTAATTATTCTAAACTTGTTTCATTTATCTATGACTCATATGCACGGTGTCCCTATTAAGAATGAACACTATAGGTATTTCGTAATCCAGAATCGAGATAAATATCGCATAAACAGAAAATCTAATAACATCAGCTCGTAGAGCAGGGTAAGTAGCAATGGGAATTTGTATTGTCATATATCATTCCAACTAGAGTAAAACCGAAATAAAAAAATCAGAGTTTCCCAAATATCTTCGGAGTATCTTTGTAGCTTTTAGAAATTCTCAAGTTTTTTCTAATTTAATCATCTTTGTATCTCTTCTCGTTAACTTGTTCATCATGCAGTCCCAGGGATTTGATAAAAGCCAGTTTCTGAGACGGTTTTACAGAGTTAGTTCCTAGTTATCCATCTCCAAATATGATTCCTACCAGAGTTTATGACACGAATGCTTGTCGTCTCGGCGTACTCATTGATGAGGTGTTCTAGTGTTTATCCAGCTTCCCCACATAATCATTCGCCGCTGGTTCTTAGCTTCAATCTATCGAGGTATTCATTGAGGAAACAGTGTCCTGTTAAAAAAACCGTGACAATCCGAAGAATGTTCTTACTGAAATCAAGAAAAATCTTTAACTTTTCTCAGTCGTCTCGTCTAAGACCGTTTGATGATTCCCTTTCCAGGTTATGGTTGGAGTTTTCCAGAATCTTGAGATCTGCTTCAAGTTGGTTTCCACTTGGGAAGCAAAACGGTTCTGGTACATGCAGTAGTGTTCGTTCTTCTTCTAGCTCTTCTCGTTTGCTTTTTCATTACCCTCTATCCCTTGTTGGGCTCCCCCAGAGATTCTTATATGAAACACCCTGTATGCTGTATGTAAAAATATATGAATATTATAATATTTTAAGGTGAAAAGTATTTTAAGGTGAAAAATAATATTGAAAATTATTTTAAAAAATGCCCGGTTTTTAACGTTGAAATCTAAACAAAAATCAAAAGTTTTACCGTTTGCTCTAGTCAAGATGTTTAGTTGCGGACACGTTTTTGGCTTATTTTTCTTTACCGTCGATTGCGTCCAATCAAAATCGGCATGTTAATGATGTCAGATATTCTTACGTTAAATTTAAATTGGGCCCTCGTCTATATAAAGCATCCTATCGACGATACCAGAGCTCTCATTAAAGGTTGCGGTGTACCGGTGTGATTAGTTTTACCTGCCAAAATGGTAAGTACAAGTACGTTGCACAATCTTAATTTTAAAAAATTATTGGTTCCTAAAACTATAACTTGTTTCAAGAATAATACATTAATATACAGGGTCGCTGTTATGTATGGAAACGGTCGATTATTAGGTAAAATATAGAAGGTACCGCAAAAAGTTAAATACAAAAGTTATAGGATTTTTAAATATCTATTAGCGAGTAATAAATTTAAGTATACAGGGTCGGTCATAAAGTCGTGGCACATAATAGTTTCATTTTTTTAAACAGAACCCCCTGTATAATAATAATAATAATAATAATAATAATAAAGACTTTATTGCGAAATTTAAAAAAATCACAAAAGGCGAAGTTGAAGCTTAGCTTCCTAACTTAACCGTAATTAGTAGACATAATTAATATATATTATATAAAAATATTATAATAAATCAATAATAATTATAATAGAAAACTAAAGGGAAGAATAACATAGTTTGGTTTGGTTTGGAAAGAATATACCGAAAATCAATTAATTAAATATTTATACATGAAACATGAAATAATTGATAAGTATTTATATATGGTAGATACACAAAGAGAATAATTCTATGAGTAAAAAAAAGGCAACCAATAATTAATCCCGTATTATAGATAATTATACAGAAAGTAATTAACAAGTAAGTACATTAAGTAGATAAATAAATAAATCAAAACAAACTAAAATGGCGGCATGACGGGAGATTATAAGATCTGAACATTTAAATTGAAGAATTAAATATTAACTATCGTATAGAACTTTTAAATTTCAAATAAGAGTTAATTTTAAGATTTACAGAAATTCTATTATAAAGAATACATGCCTGATAACTGAATGATCTCTCATACAGAGTTGTGCGATGTATAGGGGAGCGATATTAAACTTGTGACGCAAGTCCAATGAATGTTCATCATACCTAAATTTAATTTTATCAAACAAATAACATGGACTTTTATTATTGATTATCTTATAAATTAGTAAGTATGAATGAAATTTTCTTCTCCCAGCCATGTTAGAGCCAACCAATTTCCGCCATTTTATTTGTGATACCTGTATCATATTTTTCATACTGCCTATCAAACGGATACAACAGTTTGTGTAGTCGTTGAATGCGTTTAACATCATGATCTAAAATACACGGTCCATATAGTGAGTCACAATAGGTAAATTGTGAAAGAACTAAGGTGTCACATAATTTCTTTTTGAGATTAGGATTTAAGATGTAACGTTGATTGTAGATCAGTTTTAAATTTATGAAGGCCTTTTTTATACATTTGTTAATATGTTCAGTAAACCTTAAGTGAGTATCCATAATCACACCAAGGTTCCCTGCAGATTTACAGATTTAATCTTACAGATTGTGTACTTGATGAGAGATAAATCTCTCATCAAGTTTCAATGCGCGACACTCAAGCCCAAGAAACTTTAATATTGCTAATAAGAGTTGATGATTCAACTTATCAAAAGCCCTCGAGTAATCCAAGAGAACCAAACCAGTGAGGTCACCCCGATCAGCAGCCTCCAGAATATCATCCGTTACCTTGAGTAATGCTGTTGTACAACTGTGGTTTTTCCGAAATCCCGACTGAATCGGAGGCAAGAGACTATGTTTATTTATGTATTCTCTCAGCTGCATACTTCAATTCTTCCTTCAATTCTAAGCAAAAATCGAAATACACACAATGTACCTCAAACCAACCGTTTCCGAGTTATTGACTTTTGAAAATATCACTTAAACACTTTGATTTAATTAATTTCGATATGTTCAGTTTCATTTAACGATGCCATTCTGCCGAAACTGTGATACTGTTGTAATGGGGTTTGAAATGCCTATTAGCTACTAGTAAATTTATAAATATACAAGGTCGGTCATAAAGTTGTGGAAAATCAACCTTTATTTTTTTAAACGAAACCCCCTGTATATTATTGCATATTTCAATTCTTTCGTCAATTTTAAGCAATAATCGTAATACATAATGTACATAAATTGAAGAATTGAAATGTTAAAAGAAGATTTTGTCATTTCCAGACTTGATGTAATCTCATTTTATACATCTATAAATGCTAACATAAGAACTAATGTCAAATATTATTAAGTATTACAGTTTCGACAGAATGGCATCGTTAAATAAAACTGAACATATCGAAATTAATTAAATCAAATTGTTTAAGTGATATTTTCAAAAGTCAATATCTCGGAAATGGTTGGTTTGAGGTACATTGTGTGTATTTTGATTTTTGCTTAGAATTGAAGAAAGAATTGAAATATCACTATAACTCAGATAAGCCCAAGAAATCTGCAAAAATTTAAATCAAATTCAAATGTGTCAAGTAATTTGTTGTTAAATTATTGATAAATTTTATTTTTCAGGGTGACAAGTTAAAACCATCTGAAATGGAAAGTAAGTATTTTTGCTAAATATAATTGTTTGAATAATTAAAAAATAAGAGATGTTAAGTCCCCAAACATACTAAACAGTTAAACAACAAAGGTTAAAGTTAGATAATAGGATACAGAACATTTCTATTTTCTGCCATAATACTATAGTCTGTCTAACGAGAGAGTACAAGGCAGTGACAGTTGCTGTTTGCCACCACGATTTAAAAGTAAATTTTCTTTTTTTCTAACAACTTTTAGATTCTGTCTAATCCAGGGTTGCCACCTTTTGTATTTAAAAAACAGGGACAGCACTGGTGCAACCATTTTTCCTAAATGTAAAATTTGCTGTGCCCTGTGTAGTGATGTAAAATTTCCAGAAATATATTTTCGGAAATATTTGCTGAAACATTGGAAATATATGGAAATATTGTAGATTAGAAAAACTGAAATATTTATTTATAAAAATCATAACAAAACAACGCAAAACACAAAATGAATTACACTTCAAATTAAAAAATAAATTAAGGTTAAATTTGTACAAAAAAATATTTTTGACACACTAGTTGAACAAGAGGCGTCTTCATCGCTGTCAACAGCATCACACTCAATAACATCTTCTTGCTAGTCTACTTCCTCAAAATTTTCAATAGTATCGGAAATAAAAATTGATCTATTGCCGTTTCCTATTTTCTTCAGCAAGTTTTCATTGTGGGATATATAGAGTAACTTAGCGGCTCTGTCATTAGTAAGCCTGTTTTTCTTTTTTGAATGAATATGACTATAAACGCTAAAACTGCGTTCCGTGGCAGCCGAAAATGCTGGCATCATCAAAATTCGTGAAGCTACTTGTGATAATGAAGATGAAGAACACAGTCCTTTCCACCAGGAGACTGGGTTATCAAAACTACTTTTCCATATGTAGTTATTTCCAAATAACTTGCCACTTCTACAACGGTAATCTGCTGTTTCATCTATTATTTCGTGCTCCTTTATATTGAGTTTATTTTTTGACATATTAAGTATGCATTCTATGGCAGAAAGAATTTGGGTTTCATCAAGTTCAGAACCTTGTGATTTTGGATTTAGTAATTCTGCAGGATAATGAATGGGTTTAATAGGAAATTTTTATCTTTTGTCAACAAACTCCAACAATTCGGATTTTTCTTTGTCGTCAAGTGAGGATAATACAAGATTATTCTGAATTACCCTTCTAATATCACAAAATGCTTTTACAGCTAAATGAATGTCGATCAGGGATTCCCCTAGGCTACGACCTACGACCTCGGGACTTCACCGTAGAAATGCGAGGTTGCAAATAAGTAGGTTAATCCTCAAACTCGATATATTCACCATATTATATGTTTGTAAAACTGTTCTATAGTAAGTTTAATGTTTATAGGGTTACAAAATATGAAAGATATATTAATAAACATCGGGTTAGAATCGTTAATGACAAGTATTTTTAAAAATATTTCCAATATTCCCAATATTTCCAATATTTCCGAGACACGTTTGGAGATTTCCAATATTTCCATTTCCATGGAGATATTTCCGTTGGAAATATTTCCATTTACAACACTAGCCCTGTGTTTATTTTTTTATCTATAATTTTTATATTCTTTTTGGCAAATTTCCATTATGTTTCCTTTAATGGAAGTTTCTATTATCGAATATTTATTAAACAGGTTATCAATATACAGGGTGTCTCAGATTTTAATCGGGAAAATTTAAAGACGATAGAACTTGCAAAAATAAAACAAAAAGTTCATATTAACTTGTAAGATTTAAAGCTTCCTTTTCGAGATACAGGGTACAATTAGAATTAGCGATGGGAACTATCGAATGAATTAGACTATCGAATGGTTAATGAATGAATGATTTCAACTATCGAATGGTTTTATTCGAATAAAATCATTCATTCATTTGTATACTAAAGCATATGTTACAACCTCGCCGTGCGACTAAATGGTTATCGTTGAGCCAGGACTATCGAATGCTTTTGATAAATGAAATTTAGTATTCGTTTGATTTTTGTATGCGTCAGTGCATTATTAGTTCTTCCAAATTTTTATAACTTCACCGTATAAATACTGTGCTATTTTTGCGTTTACTAAAATAGTTAAAATACTAAAATAGTAGTTATTTTTTAATTTTATTTATTGACGATTGTGTGCATGTGCAGGTGGTCAAAATTTTTCCGAAAAGTTGTGTGGTTTTCCGTAGTCCGATCTTTCAATTATTTAATTTTATATGGTATATGGTCTATTTTTTAATGGGAAATTTTGAGAAGTAGCAATTTTTAAGAGAGATGAGATGAACTTAAATTAATTTTAAAAGTACATATTTGTATTTTAGATGTTTTAATAATATGAATTAGTTGAACTTAATAATCATATTAAAGTAATGTGGTTAAGTAAATGGTTATCGAACTCAAACTATGGGGTGAGAAAATTAAAATGAAAGTTTTACACGTGCCAATTTAAAAAAAAAGTAACGATGTTTGTATTTTGTTTATGCTAATTCTCTTACATGTAGTTTTTTGCGAAGAAATATTTCATTTATTTTTTAAAGTAAATGCCAGTAAAAGTAATATAATTAATTAATATAATTTTTAAATAGAGATATAAAGCACCTAATATAAATAATTTTGATTTCTAATTTTTTATTTATATTTTCGTTCCATTACACTGCATGCTTAGAAAATTAATAAATGTTTATATTTCATGATTTTAAAATTTGTTGTTAATATAACAAATTAGTTCTGTAATTATTATTATTTAACAAACCAACGTTGCCAAAAAATTTAAAGACTATATTATTTTTAAATAGGATCTAATATAAATAATTTTGACATCTAATTTGTTGTTTATATTTTGCTACTACTTAAAAAAATATTGATATTAAATCATTTTAAATTTTGTTGTTAATAGGTATAACAAATTATTACTGTTATTATTATTTATTAAACCAGTCTTTGCTTAAAAACATTAAAAATCACTTTCATGTTCTTACATCCAAAATAACAAGTATTATTGCAGTGTAACAACAGAATATTAATAAAAAAAAATGCAGAATATATAGACATACTATCCCTAACTAACTAAAGCCAAACAATAATATTCTTTGCTAATATCAACTAATGCCAAAATATGGCAACAGCGCCCTTCATAATGTATTTTCTGTGTAAATACTAGCACCTCAATAAAAAAAATAATGTGTCCTTATCTATATCTGACTCCGCAAAAAATCAAAGATGCCGGCTTCTTTCATAGCATTGCCACCGACTGCTGTCGGGTTTCTCGGAAAGAAACCTACGTCGCCGGGCGACAACTAAAATTCAGTTAATATTTTATTATAATCGATCCTGACGAATAAATGAATTTCATAAATGAATGAATTGTATAAATGAATGGTTTTTGCTGCCGAATTACTAGAATACAATATTTCAAGGCAGATGACGGATCTATTCGATAATTTTTATTCGAATAGTTTTCAACGAATGTTTTCTTACTAACTATCGAATTATTCGAATGAATTGCAACTATCGAATGTTTCGATAGTATTCATTCGATAGTTCCCACTACTAATTAGAAGTACCAATTATAATATTAATTAACAATTAGAATTCAATTTTTTTCGCAAGAAGTAAGCAAGATAGACAAAAAAGTCAGGAGACAAAAAACTAATATTTTTAATTACTAAATCCAAAAATAATATTAAACTTCTAAAAAAGCAGTGGCGTGCCTATTTTTCCCTTTAAAATAATTTAACAGTGATGCCCCACCGCCGCCCCTGGCCATTAAACTTAAATCTAATTGCATCAAATTAAGACCCATAGTAAGTATTATAAACGGGTCAAGTTATATCAAAATCGATTAAATAGTTTTTCAAATATCTTAATTTTTTTTTCTTTTTTAAGTAACTTTAACACCCTGTATCTCGAAAAGAATGCTTTAAATCTTACAAGTTGATATGAACTTTTTGTTTTATTTTTGCAAGTTCTATCGTCTATTAAATTTTCCCGATTAAAATCTGAGACACCCTGTATACTTCTTTTAATTCTAAAATTTCTACGATTTAATTAATTCGTGGAAAAGAACTGTTTTTAAGTTCAAGAAATTAATAAACATGTGTTTTTATTAATAACTTTTACAGTTTTATTGTTTCATAAAAATGTGGCTATTAAACAAATAAATATCGGGACATTAGAGCCTTGAGTGGGGACGTGGGCCTTTTCGATCAAAATCGGGACTGTTCCGACAAAATCGGGAAGGGTGGCAACGCTGCGCTGGTCTCATCCTTCGCTGAATTGACTATTTTGAAGATCTCCGCAAAAATGTGAAGCTTTCAAATTGGCATTTACTGCTCCCATGAACTAAATAGTTCTTTAGTGACAATTTTTTTCTAATTTTGTGATATCTAGGCTTGGATTTTGCTATGGAAGTGTATGGAGGCAAAGAAAAAATTATCGACGCCAAAGATCTGGGTATGGTAGCAAGAGCCATGAACTGCAATCCTAGTTTAGAAACTTTAGAAAAATTGGGAGCCACAAAAAAGGCAGGTAAGCAACAACTGCTGGAGATTTCATAGTACTAAAGTTTTGAAAATATTTTTACTTACAACCATAAAATAATAAATATAAGAAGTGTCAACTCAATGTTAAATCTTGGAAACAGTGTGACTGCTTGGGTAACTAATTTTTAGACATGGCGGCTGTGACATTTGACATGACAATTCCAATGTTATTAAATATATTTCCGTTTCCGGTTTTTAATGGCGGACTCCCCATTAGGTTTAAATTAGGTTTAATATACTTTTTACTCTGTCTAGTAGTAAATAATACAGCAAAATTACTCAAAAATATTTATTTGAAATTCAGAACAACGTAAATATGTATCAATATCAAATATTTAAATAATATCAGAGATGCTGTGTTAAAGTGAGTTAGTAAAGTAACAGTGCATTGACTTACAGAAACTTGAAAATAAATAAATGTTTTCATAGTATCATGGGCGTAAAACTAAATAACTGGAAGCAGGAAAAAGACAACATAAACCCAAAGATATACTTTCTCTAACGATATACTTTTAAAATAAACAAAATGATAGTATTTTATCTGATATCAATAAACTGTATGATTCTAGGAGAGAAGAAAATGAAGATCGAAGATGTAGTTCCAGTTATAATTGAACTGAAGAAAAACAAGAAAGATGAAGGCTGTTATGAAGATTTTGTTGAATGTCTGAAGTTGTATGACAAAGCAGACGATGGACACATGGGCGCTGGTGATCTACCGCACATGTTACTATCTTTAGGTAATTTTTTTAGAATGAGTAGGAGGGGGGTTAATCACTGCGACCTTACAGATCTATTGTGTCCCCCTTTCTTGAGTTATAACTCATCATACAGTTCCAGGGCTTTGACAAAAGCCAGTATCTGGGACGATTTTATAGAGGGTAGTTCTCCATCTCCAATATCAGTCGTACCAAAGTTCATGGCACGAATGGTTGTCGTCTCGGCGCACTCAGTGATGAGGTGTACTGGTGTTTACCCATTTTCCCCACAGAATCTGCATTCGCCGTTTCTTCTTAGTTTCAATCTACTGAGGTGTTCATTGAGGAGACAGTGTCCTGTTGAAAACCCAGTGACAATACGAAGATTGCTCTTACTTAAACCCAGGAACTTCTTTGAGTGTCTTAGACCTTTGCAAGATTCTCATTCCAGGTTGCGGATGAAATCTTCCAAGTTCTTGAGTTCCGCCTTGAGTTGATTACCAAAAAAAAAAGAAAGCAGAACGGTTCTGGTCCAGTTAGTGGAGTGTTCGCTCCTTTTCTAGCTAGATCGTTTGCTTTTAAATTGCCTTCTATCGCTTGGTGAGCAGGCACCCAGAGTAGGAGGACTTTATTTTCTTTGCCTAATTTATTCAGCTTCTCTATGCATTCTTTTACCAATTTCGAATTGATTGATACTGAGTTGATCGCTTCTAACGCTGCTTGACTATCAGATAAGATGGCTATTTCTTGTTTCCGATAGTTCCTATCTAAGATAAGTTGTATCCTATCTTGATAAGTTGTCTTTCGATAGCGTAGATTTCTGCCTGTAGGATGCTAGGGTAAGTGCCCATTGGTTCGGAGTATTTAGTTCTCGACCCAAACACTCCGATCCCTGTTCTCGTATTGGTTTTGGAAGCATCAATATACCAAGTTATGGTATATTATCTTTAGGTAATTAAAAAATTACAAAATTATTAGTATTTAGATCACTGTAATTTTTTTTTGTATTTTATTTGAAAGTGTTGATACAACTGAATAATTCTTTTTTCTTAAGCTGAGAAACTTACTGATGCTGAAGTAGATGAACTCTTTGAAGACTGCCTAGATGAGGAAGACGATGAAGGAATGATCTTATATGATCGTAAGTAGCCACTAATACACATTACTAGTAGTTAGTAGTAATAATTTGTTTAATTTAAAAATACATCCTGTATATTTTACCTGAATCAGTGCACAATGTAATTGTCAAATGGTATTAATACCATTTTTTACCTATGACCTATAGTAATCGCAAAACAATTTCCGATGTAGGCGATCAACTTTGATTGACAAGCGATGGCGACAGCGCTGCCAGATTGTGATAGATTTATGAGATGAATCTTTATTTATTTTTTTATTATTTTTATTTATTATTTATTTGTTCTATAGCTTGTCTTACTTATTAGATACATATTGGCAAAAACTAGTCCATTATGAAGAGTATTCTAAGCGTTATTATATGGATTATTTATTTATTTATTGATGGACATTACAAGACCATAAGTGGTAATAACAAGTAAGAGGATGCCATTAATGCACAAACTAATAATCACAAAATTTACTAATAACTAACGTAGAAATAACTTTGAAAGTGGTATAATGTGCTGAGCAATCAAACTTGCTTCTCTGATTGCAGTCAAGGATAATAAAGGGCCTTTATTGTCAAAGTTCTCGTTCAAAATATTTTATCAGGAAAGCTACAAGCTTTTGCTTCGACTGTTTAAATGCTTCTGCACATGTTCAACACACAATTTCGTTGAAAATTTAGTTCTTAAAAGAACTGTTTGTGCTTAAAAGTACAATTTTTAGAAGAAGACTATGAAAATTTACAAAAAAATGAGAATTACTCACAGAGATTCAACAACAATACGATATTATACAAAACAATGGCCGACATTATGATAATTGTCAAACAATATACGACAACGTTGCTGAAGACGACGCAATGTGACCAACATAGCGATAATAAAATTCGGTTTAAACAAATTTTTGCAGCTTTAATCTAATTAAAATATCTGTTACAATCATATGCTCTATAAAGTAAAATGAAGAGCTGCGGGTTATCTTAAATTATACAACAAATTTAAACATTTTTGCCAAAATTTCATTTAGTCAGGTTTATAGACTTTAGTGTCAGTTTCGATATGATTGATGACGTGCATCGGAAAATGTTTTGCGACTACCGTATCTATTCAAGTTTTTGTAGAAATGCATTTACTTATAATTTAGACGTCTTTTATCAATATATCCATGGAATATTGACATTTTAGATTAAAATTATTAGTGTATTTCCACAAAAACGTAAATATTTCAAAAACGGTAAGATTAAAATGAGACAACTTTAATAAAAAAAACAACCTTAATCAAATTTACCTTTATTTTAACCCGTAGAAACTAAATATGTAATAAATTACAGGGTATATACCATTTAAAAAATACAACTTTGATATTTTTTATTTATTTGGGACACTCTGTCCCTTTTTTTCTTTTTAACCTATAGTATTTTATTTAATAAAAAATATTTTTATTAATTTTTCAGCATTCCTACGGAGAATGTGTGAACTAGATCCACCACTTAAGAAAAAGAAGTAAAAAATGTTCAATTTGCTTTACATTATTTCATTGTATATTTATTTTAAAAAACATAAAACCATTAATGGAGTATCTTGTGACATTTATTTTTAGCCCCTTAACAGAACAAGATATGTATAGTAAAAGTACGTAGTAATTATAGTCTAATTATTCATTTCGTAAAGCCAATACGAGTATTACTACTGCCGCGAAACCGTCCCATTACACACTAAAAATAATATAATATAATATGAAAATGTTTTTTTAGATAATCTACATCTACTTTTTTAGTACTTAACAAAGTACTAAAAATATAATATATAGTACTGAACCAAAAAAATTGGTTTTCTTGGCTTGTTCGTGTATATCAGTCACATATGTCACATTGACTAATTCATTTTCAGGAAAATCTGTATCTATTATCTCTACCATTTATACTTTTTACAATAAATTAAACTAAAATTGTTTTATTCTTAACATTATTAATGTCTCACGATGTACCGTTTGTGCCGGGGGATCATAGTTTCATAGTTGTCGATTTTCGAAAGAAATCAATACATGTATATTATTTCGTATATTTTTCATTTTATTGATTTTATGGAAAACACTGTTCATTAAAATGTTGTATCCTATGTTATAGGGATTGTTTCTCTTTACAATTTCCTGTCTCACAATGTACCGTTTGTGTCCGGGGAAGGGTTCATAGTTTCATAGTTGTCGATTTTGAGAAAGAAATCAGTACATGTATATTATTTCGAATATTTTTCATTTTATTGATTTTATGGAAAGCACTGTTCATTATAATGTTGTACCCTATGTTATAGGGCTTGTTTCTCTCTACAATTTCCTGCCTCACAATGTACCGTTTGTGTCCGGGAAGGGTTCATAGTTTCACAGTTGTCGATTTTTGAAAGAAATCAGTACATGTATATTATTTCGTATATTTTTCATTTTATTGATTTTATGAAAACCACTGCTCATTAAAATGTTGTATCCTAAGTTATAGGGCTTGTTTCTCTCTACAATTTCCTGTCTCACAATGTACCGTTTGTGTCCGGGAAGGGTTCATAGTTTCATAGTTGTCGATTTTTGAAAGAAATCAGTACATGTATATTATTTCGAATATTTTTTATTTTATTGATTTTATGGAAAGCACTGTTCATTAAAATGTTGTATCCTATTTTATAGGGCTTGTTTCTCTCTACAATTTTCTGTCTCATAATGTACCCTTTGTGTCCGGGAAGGGTTCATAGTTTCATAGTTGTCGATTTTTGAAAGAAATCAGTACATGTATATTATTTCGTATATTCTTCATTTTATTGATTTTATGGAAAGCACTGTTCATTAAAATGTTGTATCCTATTTTATAGGGCTTGTTTCTTTCTACAATTTCCTGTCTCACAATGTACCGTTTGTGTCCGGGAAGGGTTCATAGTTTCATAGTTGTCGATTTTTGAAAGAAATCAGTACATGTATATTATTTCGAATATTTCTCATTTTATTGATTTTATGGAAAGCACTATTTATTAAAATGTTGTATTCTATGTTTTAGGGCTTGTTTCTCTCTACAATTTCCTGTCTCATAATGTACCCTTTGTGTCCCGGGAAGGATTCATAGTTTCATAGTTGTCGATTTTCGAAAGAAATCAGTACATGTATATTATTTCGAATATTTCTCATTTTATTGATTTTATGGAAAGCACTATTTATTAAAATGTTGTATCCTATGTTTTAGGGCTTGCTTCTCTCTACAATTTCCTGTCTCACAATGTACCGTTTGTGTCCAGGAAGTCCTATCCTCGCTGTTAATGTATCATTTAATCTACCCTTGCGGTTAAAGTACTATTTTATCTACTATTTTTGATAGATATAAGGCAATTTTAACAGTTGAAAAATGTTTTTTTATGATCACATTTCAAGTTATTTGAATAAAAACCAAAAGTATACTTTTCAAATTATATTAAATTACACACTTCTGTAAAAAAAATTCTAAAACAATAAAAACAAACGAAACACTAAAAATTAACACCCTTACACGACAAAACACTTTATTCTTCGAATCAGACTGAGGTACAATATTTACACGACAAACACGAAACACCTTTCGCTACCTGTTACCCTCCTTGACGTTGGTGAGCAACTTCTCCAAATCCTCGATGGTGAACTCGATAGGAATCATCCTTCTTCTATCTCTGGGATCGGGGATTTGGACTGTTACCAGATCCTTCTTATTCTGACGATTGTCCAGAGCCCGGTTGTAGATGCTCTGCCATAGTTTGTAGCGGTCCCTGGTATTCGTACTTTCGAGAATCTTTAGGAAATGGGTCTTGTCTAGATAAAGAAATTTAATTAAAACCAACAAAATCGAAAAATAAAAGTTTGACTGTCTTCTAGAGTAAAAATATACCGTGTGTTTTTTGCAAGTGGACTCTATAACTTTTTATTTTTTCAGATAAAAAAAACGGGATTTCAGTATATGACATAATTGTTTTACTTACGATATTGTTTTACTTCATTTGATAGAAAATGTCATTCCACATAGAATGACATATCATATGTCAACTTTTGACATTTTAAATTTTAATATAGAAGTGTTATGGCCATAAATGTAACGGCAATTTGACTCCTATACCTAGAAATACCTAGTGTGTGGTACCAAATTATTCGTAAAAAATGATTTTTCCAAATATGCTAATGAGCCACCCTCGCTCCATTTGAAAAAATTGAGATATGATTAAAAATTATATGACACGAAAAACATTCGATGATCAAATCTATTTTTCGAAGGCTCCGTGATTAAAAATTACAGTTTTTAAAACAGCCATGGCATTCTAGATTAAAATTAAAATACGATTTTTTTCAGCGAGAATGTCAAAAGTTGACATATTTGTGATATGTCGTTCTATTCAGAGCAGTGGCGGACTAAAGGGGTGGGGGGGGGCGGAAGGGACGATCCGCCCCGGGCCCCGTCTTTTAGGAGGCCTTCGAATCTTAATAAGTAATAATTTTTTATTCAACTGGCAAACAAGGCCAGTTCAGTAGTTATAAAGCAGTTTGTAGGTGGAGTAAGCAAACCATATACTTATACGCCAACTATAAACAGTATAAATAGAAGCAGATATTTACTTAATTATCAATTATCAGGCCCCAGTAATTGTCAATGGCATTTTCTAATTAGGAAATTAAATCAAGGGGTAGTTTTCTTTGTTTAAAATATCAAATAATTATTATTTTTTATATATTTTGAGACTGAATTTATTTATTTTAGCTTTTAAGTTATTTTTCAATGGTTTCATTATTTATTTTTACTGAATAAACATTTTAAATTACAACCAATGCACAGCATAACTTGTATTCTAGCCTCATTACTGATGATGAGCAGTGAAGTCTTTAGTATAAAGGGGGCCACGGGTTTGAGACAGCGAAGGGGCCCCTCGGATCTTGGAGGACTTACAAAATCGCGATATTTTGTCGCGGTATTTCCCTGGAAGCATTTTTAAGAAAAAAATATTTAAAATTTTTGGACGAAAAAACTATACCAGTCAAAAAAATTTGTACAGCCTAAAAGTCAAATTTAGTGATTATCACAGCCCCTGTGACATATAAAGAAAAGACATGTGGCTATCTATTTCAAAAATTAAATTGTTCAAATGTCATATAATAATGGCGGTAGCTGTCATGGAATTGAGCAATTAAAAAAATATCATAAATATTTTTTTTTTCAAATGGAAATTCACTTTTTTATTTCAGTAGTGAAAAGGTTTTCCAATTCGTTACGTTTTAACTAGACATATTCCTATACCTAAAATAAATCGTTTTTAAGTTATTTAAGATTTAGTTTGAAAACGTATATTTTTCTTGATTTTATCTAGCTTCCTTTGACATTAAGTGTCAAACAGTTAGACAGATTTTACAGATAATGTATATATATATTGCCGCTATAAGAACAAATACTAAAAGCAGAATTAAGTAAATGTTTATAAATAAAAAAGTACTTTCACTAAACATTATCTTTTAAGTAAGAATTTTACATTATTATCACCAAAAGAATATATTAAAAGCAAATTATAACGAGAAAACTTTCCTGGACTGGGTCCTTTCGAACTGGATGGCATGTGTCCATCAGCAGTTTACCATTAGCTGAAGAAGTACGTTTCTTGCATTGGGGGTTAAAAATTAATAATTAAATAACATTATTATCACCAAAAGAATATATTAAAAGCAAATTATAACGAGAAAACTTTCCTGGACTGGGTCCTTTCGAACTGGATGGCATGTGTCCATCAGCAGTTTATTAGCTGAAGAAGTACGTTTCTTGGATTGGGGGTTAAAAATTAATTATTAAATAACATTATTATCAACAAAAGAATATATTAAAAGCAAATTATAACGAGAAAACTTTCCTGGACTGGGTCCTTTCGAACTGGATGGCATGTGTCCATCAGCAGTTTACCATTAGCTGAAGAAGTACTTTCTTGGATTGGGGGTTAAAAATTAATAATTAAATAACATTATTATCACCAAAAGAATATATTAAAAGACAGCAGACAATTTATTTCCATCTGTCAGAAAATGAATTATTTGAATTTCCTATATTATTACTACTGCTGCTTAAAAGTTTAAAAAGTGTATTTATATAAATATATCTCGTATTTTCGTTCTTTAGTCATATCTAATAGTTAATATTTTAATAATATACCGTACGATCGAAAAAAAACAGCGCAAAGTTAGCTTGGAAATGATGATCGATAATATACTGTCATAGGCTACTGGTTAAAATCAAGAAAAATATACGGTTTAAAGCTAAATCTTAAATAACTTAAAAACGATTTATTTTAGGTACATGACCATGTATAGTTAAAAAGTAACAAATTTTAAAAATGAAAGTAACGAAAGCCTTTTCACGAGTGAAATAAAAAAAGTGGATTTCCATTTGAATAAAAAAAAATGATTTATGATAATTTTTTAATCGCTCAATTCCATGACAGCTGCGGCCATTATTATCTTACATTCGGACAATTTAATTTTTCACATAGATAGCGACATGTCTTCTCTTTATGGCATAGTGGCTGTGTATGGAGGCTAGAAGGAGGAGGCGAATCGACAATGGGCATATTTGAAATTTCTGTCCCTACTTTAAAGCAAGTTTCTCGGTTTGACACCAGAGGCACTGTAAGCGGGTTAGATTGATCATTTGCATTGTTAGAATACGATTTAACTGTGTTTTTACTAGTTTTCTTTAAAATTTATAGTTATTTTATTGAACTATTAGCAATGTAACAATGAGTGTGATTAAAAAACCCTATATAATAGATCTTGCTTCGTACCTGGCTGTATAAGTGGGACTTTCAGTGGAAAAAAGGCAAATAAAGAACGGGGTGAAAGAAACCCAAGTCTTTTCAAAGGTCCTAATGTAAGTGGTATAACTATTTATTTAAAAATATATGGATAGATGTTAAGAAAAACATTCAAATTATATACTATCAGTGTACAGATTAATTTTTAATTCAAATTAATAGAGAATATAGCCTAAAATCAACATCTGCGTAACACAACCTAGGAGACCTTGTTATAAAATAAAAATAATTTACCTTCTAGCTGGTGGCTAAAATTACCTGTTGATATGTATTAACCACCATTTGAACAGTGCTATTGAAAGTGAATTTACGCCAAAGCAATATAGTATTCTAATATAAAATAATTTACTTACCTGAGATGCTTCATTTAAATTGAAAAATAATGTACAGTGGTTGAAGGACTTTGATTGTGTATATATAAACCATTTAGAATAGTTTTTATGAATAAGCTCTTTAAATTAATATGTAGGTATATTGTAGCCAGGTATTTATTTAGAATGCATTTTTTTTAAATTATAATTCTTTTGTGTTCTTGATATAACATGTTCCTGTTATATTTTTTTTGGTATAGCTGCTAAATTGTATATTAAATTTATATACTTTATATACTGTATATTTTATTTATTAATTTTAGTGGAATTAGTCAGTTAATAAAAACAAAAGTTGTAATGTATTAATATTGTTAAATAAATAAATATATGATGAAATAAGTCAGTGTATATACATATTTACAACTCTTTTAAAATAAATTGAGTTCATTATTTATTCATTAATATTTTATTTACAAAAATTTACCTTTACAATTATTAGGTGACGTTGAATATAATACATCTTGAATTTAATTGTTTACGAAACAGTGACAATTTGCAAAACTTTGCTAATGGCATTAAAACTTAAATTCAGAAAATCTAAAGAAAAAACACTATTGGACACAGGAAACATTTCAGCTTAATGTACCTATTCTCTGGTTTCAGCTATAAAAAGTTATGGGATAGATAACACTGATCAAAGGGTGCAATTAACAGTAGTGTTCATATTCACTTTCCATTGAAGTTATTCCTGATAAAATACTTTTAATTTTCGTGATTCAGTTTCTGTCAATTGCGGTAAAACCACTACTAGTTTGTTACGAAAGTTTTTAATGTTTATTAAAATGATATCACACTGAACTGCTTGTAAACATATCAATTTCAAATGTTTTTATGAAAAACTATTAATAAATCACTAACACAATCACACCATAAACTATTTAATTCGCATTTGTCATCAAGAAACAATTACTGTTTACATCACATCAAATCAAAGGTTGAACTGGTGATATTTGTTGCTGGAAATTCTATCTTTTTTGTTCAACAGTTATAAGGAAGATTTATTTTAACAGCTTATATTTTTCTTCGGTCGTGTATGCACTAAAAAGAACCATATAATGAAACAATTTTATAATAACAACTTAGAAAAAGAATATCTAAAACCGGCATCTGATATAACCTAACTTCTAACTTACTTTTCAAACTCAAATTTAAGGTTTTGTATTCACAATTTTAGCCACGCACATTGTTCAGTTAGAAAAACACGTTTCTAAAAGCTAAATCTGGTAAAAATATGCCCAAATATTAACTGAACTCTATAATTTATAACAAAATAGTAATTCTTGCCATAAGAAGCTGTGTATTTCTCAATCTATCGGATCACATGCGCCCCTAACGGCGATTTTCGAACTTCATTTAAATCTCAAAAACTGGGCCCATAATTTTTGCGTTCGATTTGCCTCCTCCTTCTAGCCTCCATATGCCCCATATGGCTGTGGAAATCACTAAATTTGACAACAACATTTGACAAAAAAGTATAGGTGGCGCCCTCTACGAGTAGGAGTCATATTGGCATCAAAATCAAATTTCTCATGTCAAAAAACTCCCAGACACCAATTTTCATCAAAATATTGACGGTACTTCAGAAATTATTCGGAAAAAATCGAAATAAAAATGAAACTTCTACATCCTGTATCTCCGAAACTAAGCATTTTAGGACATACATTTATACGAACTTTTTTACTTATTTTTCTGCGCAGAATATGTTGCCGATGATTCCGGAATGCAATTCGGACCACCCTGTAAAATAAATGATAATAATTAAAAACTTACGTGTTCTTTTCAATGCGTCGTTCATCCTGTCTTTGAGCACCTCGCAATCGGTGGAATCGACACGAAAGGAAGCCGCAGACTCTTCAGGCCATCTCGTCATGCGGGGATTGACATAGGCCACGTTGACGCCCGAACCTTTTTTCAAAACAGAAGAGAATTATGTAAAGGAAAAGTGCGGGTTAAAAATAAAGGCGCCATATTTACGTTTCGATCTATTTTAACTTAAACCTAGGATCATAGAAGAGAAGACCGGTACCGGCTTAGTGAAAGATGAATGGAGTGAAAATTATGTTTTAAGCGGCGCAAGAAATACCGTACGATCGAAAAAAACGGCGTCAAAGACGGCTGGGAAATGACAATCGATGATAATTTTGGCGATGTCAATCTCTAGGCGACATTTACTAAAAATTTGCATAAAACTTGTCAAATATTGAGACTAATTATTGAGAGGAGCTTTTGAATAAGAAGACTAAGGAAGGAGCATAATGCTATCCATGTATTCATGCATGGTGGGCGGAAAAAGCACTCTAGGGTGGGGATCCTTGGCAGTTCTGTTTGACGATTCATTTGACACATTTGAATTTGATTTGAAATTTTGTGGATTTGTCAGTCTTTACGGAGCTTATTTTATGTTATTTATAATTTATTATTTATTCTACTACCGATAGTTGTATAAAGATAGTAAATCTAGATGGAAATTATGGCAGAACATAAATTAACAGTGACACTATCGCGATTTATCGAAAAAGACTCTAAAATAGTTGGTTGTGTAGCATGCGGTAGATCTCGGCAAAAATTGAGTGAAATAATGGAACTTTTCGCTAGTAAGTGACTATATAATATACATACGTGTAGTAAACCGATCATTTATGAAATTCACTTAAATTAACTAAATTATATATTTTTCTTGCATTTTAGCTTTTATTTATTACTTGTCAAAAATTAGATGTCAAAAAATTTCGATACGTTAATTTAACTTACCTGCTTCAGTAGCGTATCGGATGTTTGTGTTAATAAATACTTATTATAACTTATCTATTTTTATTAGAATTATATATTTTTATAACAATTTTAATAACTACCAACATTTATTCATAACGTAAAATAAAACAACAAATTATTGAGTCTACCCCACGTCTACCCTACATCATAGTTTTACATTTTTTAAATAAAATTAGAACGACACTGATAAACCGGAATTTAAGTCGGCCATATTTGAGGCCCATCGCGGTGTACCTAAGATTTTTGATATACTCCTTCCTTAGTCTTCTTATTCAAAGTTATGGATAGATTAAAAAAGGACAGAACGTTTCCAGACGCACAAATCAATTTCCAAAAAATTATTTTCTGGCGAATTTTAAACTACACCATTTAAAAATCATTTTTACTCGAATATCAATAAATTACAACCTTCTTAAGGCCTACTGACAGTAAGCGCCATTAAAAAGTAAGAAAGTAGGGGACAAGTAATCTTCTTCAATGTCTAGGGACTTTTTAATACATTAGGGAGAGCGCCAAAGTGACGTAGCATATGAGGTTGCACATACATGGCATTGATATAGAAATAGCGTTGCATGATTTTCGGGAAAGCGCACATGTTAGGTGCTTTCAACAAATGGGGGGTACTTTGTTTAAAATAGCGGTAGTTTGTTGTTGTCCATTCAAAGATTAGATGGTGAAAATAATGTTTTTTTTATTATTGAAAACGAAAAGAGATAGACTAATGAAATTTTATGGAAGCATTACTGTTATGAAAACACACTTTCAGGTAATTTTTTTACTTTTTTAAAGTGGAAGGGTTGAAATAAACTACCCCTATCATTCTTGTTAACGAAATTTAAAGAAAAATCTTATCAAACACATGCAAATGCTTTAATTTGGATAGTTTAGTTTGTTTAGAAACTTTTTTACCTCTTATGTTTTTTTGATAAAACTTACCGATTGGAAATTAAAAAATAAAATGTAAAGCATTACATGTCAAGACAAAAAACATTTTTAGTTTAAGAATCTAGTGATAATAACGATAATAATAATCATCTAGATAATAACGTATTGCAGTAGAGTAATGTCAAATAAAATAATATTAGGAACATCCTAAAAAGTAACAGCGGCCGACTAGATTTTTTCCTAAAAATTACAGCAGCCCACTAGATTCTTTTATCAGAAAATGTTTTTTGTCCTGACATGTAATGTTTACATTTTATTTTTTAATTTCAAATCGGTGAGTTTTGTCAAAAAAATACAAGAGATAAAAAAGTTTCTAAGCAAACTAAACTATCCAAATTAATTTTTTTGCATGTGTTTGATAAGATTTTTCTTAAAATTTCGTTAACTAGAATGATAGGGGTAGTTTATTTCAACCCCTTCCACTCATTTTAAAAAAGTGAAAAAATTACCAGAAAGTGTGTTTTCATAACAATAATGCTTCCATAAAATTTTATTAGTCTATCTCTTTTCGTTTTCAAGATAAAAAATAAAAACATTATTTTTCCGCCATCTTTGTACCGCAATATCTCCCTAATGGTTGACTTTTGACTCAACGTTTATGAAGCAAACTACCCTTTATTTTGAACAAGGAATCACCCCCTGAAGTTTTTCGCATTTGTTTTGAAACACCCTGTATAAGTGATGTGGCAGTGGCGCATGGCGTAAACATGTCGTTCTTTTCAGTCACAGCCTTGCGTAACCATCTTCTAATTCGTGTCAAATATTCGTCAGCGAGTAATGGCAGTAAGTAAGTGAACGAAAAAATATAAAACTATAAAAATCTATTTTTATTTATACAATCTTTTAAACCGATTAATGAATAATTTCCAGGACTGGGGTTTATTTAATCTTACCTCTTTTCTTTGAGACCTTCGATATCAACGACTGTTTGGTTTCGTTCCGTTTCGTTTCTTGAGTTTTACGTTTTTCACGCGCTAATGGTACTACTGGATTCGGAGCTTGACTTTTAGTTTCTAAAGTTTTAGCCAAATTGCTGGTTAGCTCTTCTATAAACGCTTGCAGGTCGTCGTTTCTAACAAAATATTTTTAGAAATTATATTACTATTTTTTAAATTATAGTTCTTATCTTAATTTTCCCTTTGTTTTCTCTTATCTAGAATAGGATTAGCGTTTCGTTAAGTAAATGTTTGTAAACAGCGATTGGCTTAATTTTTATCAAATATACATTATCGCTAATGATATATTATGGTATTTTATTTACAGGGTGGTTTGAACTGTATTCCGAAAACTTCGGCGGCATATTCTGCAGATAAAAATAAGCAAAAAACTTCGGTTAAATGTATGTCCTAAAATGGTTAGTTTCGAAGATCAGAGTGTAGAAGTTTCATATTTATTTCGATTTTTTCCAAATATTTTTTGAACTAGCGTCAATATTTGGATGAAAATTGGTGTCTGGGAGTTTTTTGACATGACAAATTTGATTTTTATGTCAATATGACTCCTATTTGTAGGGGGCGCCACCTACATGTGTTTTAACTTTTTTGAAGAGTAATAACATTACGTCCGTACCGGTATAAAACTACTGAGTGAAAAAAATATATGTTTTCGTGATTTTTTACGTAAAAAATGCCTCTTGGTAAAAATCGCTACGAGCAACCGTTCTCAAGATATTTAGAATAGAAACAGTCAAGACATGTCATTATTGACAAAAAATAAACATGTTGTCTTGTTAGTTATTTGACTGAAATGATAAATATGGGAATTTTTTATCTTTTTAAATTAATCATAAATTTTTCTTCGAAAAAATCACGATAAAACAGTTTCTGTTGAATTTTTGGCACAAAAACATTTCAAATTTACGATTTCAGTCTAATAACTATTTAGTTAACTATGCCAAAAAACTTCCAGATACCAATTCTCATCCAAATATTCACGTTACTTCAGAAATTATTTGGAAAAATCGAAATAAAAATAAAACTTATACGCCCTGTATCTCCAAAACTAAGCATTTTAGGACATACATTTATACGAACTTTTTTACTTATTTTTATCTGCAGAATATGCTGCCAAAGTTTCCGGAATACAGTTCGGACCACCCTGTATATTAATTTATTTATAATTATACAAATTTAACAACAATTCTATTTCACTTTTGAGATATGTCGGCATATCTCAAGTAGTCTCTGAATAGAATGACATATGATATGTCATTCTATTCAGAGTGTCTATCGAATAAAGTAAAAAAATACCGAATGTGCCATTTCAAAATCAAAAGTTGTAGTCATTTTTGATGAAAGAGGAAGTGACCGAAAACAATTGAATACGTCAATGAATCCTAATTTATGTCATATATTAACATACCAAATCTCGATTTTTTATCTGATAAAATAAAAAAGTTATAGGTGAGCCACTTTTGAGACGCACCCGGTATATATAAGATAAAGAGTATTTGTTAATGTATGAAGAGAACTTTTCATACCTGTTCGGTCCGTCAGCCTTATACCCTTTCTTCAAATTCTGCAACGTTCCCTCGAGCAACAAGATAACTTTATTTTTAAAATCTCTACCCGAAGACAAAATTTCCTCCCCCCATTTCCAGATGCCCTCGCTGGTTGCTCTTTGCGGTTCGGACGAGGTACACGGTTTCGGATCCAGTTCTTTTTCGGCCGGTACTTTGAAGGCGTGGTCTATGAAGGCCGCGTTCGTGAAGAACCTGTGCTGCTTGTCGCTGAACCTGAATTGGTTGTAGGGGGGTTGCGGGTCTTTGCTATGTCTATGGTTGTAGGTCTACCGAGAAAAGATATCGCTATAAAATTCAAACTAAACCTTTTCTCAGTTTACTAGCAAAATTTAAATTCTTTTTATCAAATCTACCTATAGATCATACCAAATAAACTTTTAGTCACGTCATTAAGCTTGGCCGGCACAGCGCAACAATGTTATTAAACTGTCAAAATGAATGACAATGTCAGGAAATAAAGAAATAAATGTGGCAACTTGACATTTTTTACAGCAAGGCTACCACTTGAATCTCCAGCGGGAAATTTAAATTCCATTTAGTCAGCCCGGCGCCGAATATGTTCATGATTGGCAACAATGAATTTAAAAATTGCGCCCTCGATTACGCAACTAAAAGTTTAATTGGTATCGCTTATAATAATGTTTTTTTTTTCGGGTATTTTACCTAGTATAGTTTTGATTTCAGGTCATATCTTATTTAAAAATATAAGATAAAAAAGAATAAGATTTTTTTTAAAAAGGCTAAATTATAAAAAAATATATTTTTTTTATTTACTATACCTATCTCTGGAATTATAAAAACATTAATACTATCATATAGTCTATAAAATGAATAACTTTGAATTTTGACCGTTATTTTTTACCAACAGGGCAAATATAAAATCCCTCTATCAAAAAAGTTACTGATATTCTTTAACTTGAGTGCCTGAACGAATCAGATAGGTAACCCTTTTTACTTTCGTGAAATAGAAAAGGAAAATAATAAAACAATTGACAGTTCTTTCTCTTCTTGCAAAAATCAACACAATTGTCAAAAGTAAAGTGTCATCGGCTTTTGACATTTCTAAATATCAGACCAATGCCGTCTCTAATAGAACAGCCTCGGAGCGAGATTTATGACGTCAGGCTAGTTAGATACTACGGATTAATAAATATGTTGTAGAATGCATGGAAAACATAATAATTCCTCGTATTTTTATTTTTGGTTTGTATTTTAAAAATGATACAGTTTACATGAAATATACATAATATACAGTTAATTAATACAATATATACCTATTTATAGTAATAAATACCTTGGCAAATTAACTATGAACTATACAAATGCAGCAAATGTTTTACAATATACAAATAATGAATAGGTACATAAGATAATGGGTAAAATGTAAAATATATTTTAAATTTTGGGGTTTGAAAATCGATCTAATTTAACAAAAAAACATTCAATATCTACTAATAGTGATGTATTATTATTTGCATTCACAAAATGTATATGTATATTTTGCAAGTATTAATGTTCGAAATATTATATTTGCAAATAATACAATATCATAGAAAAAAAGGCGTCAGCAATGGCTATGAAATAAAGATCGCTGTCATTTTATATGTAAAATGATTCTAAAATTTTTGATTTTCTTGGGATTTAGGTTCGGGAAAAACGCTGATTAAGTTTTCATTTATTTTTTCATTATTTTTTTTATTTGGTTTAAAAAAAACGTGGTTTAAAAAAAACATCATAGCCTTTATCAGTGTTGTCATATGAAAAAAATAGTGTCGAATGTATTCCAAAAAATTACATATAAAATATTCACACCACACACCACATAATGCTTACTGCAATTAATAAACTAATATAAACTTGTAAAAAGATGACCACGTATTTTTTTAAATTATTATTCTTAACACTAAAACTATCTACATTGACTATGGAGTACGATTTCAGTCATAGTAAGTAGTAGACATTGAATGTTGTTTGTTAAATTAGATCGATTTTCAAACTCCAAAATTTAAAATATATTTTACATTTTACCCATTATCTTATGTACCTATTCATTATTTGTATATTGTAAAACATTTGCTGCATTTGTATTTTGTATTTGACTAAGAGTGGGTCCCAAGGGGGACCCTCCACTGAGGCCGCGAGGGCCTATTGTGGCTCAGTTTCTACAAGCTCTAATTTACAAGAGCGTCAAAGTTCATCCTCAAGACCCAGCCTCTTAATATAGGCCGTTATGTCTGAGGGCGATATGTCTCCTAGGTCTGATAGGTCTAGCATGGGTTTGCCAAACATCTCAAACCTGGTCCTGCTCCCAGCGGGCAGGTACACATAACGTGCTTCATTGTTTCATCATCTTCCATACAGAGTCGGCATTCGGCGTCTTCCACCAGTCCGTCCTCTGCAGGTGAGATCTCAGCCGGCAGTGGCCCGTGTACACTGCAGTGAGCACACGCGTTCCATTCCTACCGGCCTTTAGGAGTTCTCCTGTTCTATGTTTGGATGGCCCTGCTAGGATCTTCTTGGCATGTTCCATTCCGGGACTGTCATTCCAGTCCCGGAACGTCGCACCCGTAACCCATTCACAGAGCCTGTGACTTGCGAGATTTTTAGGAACGCTAAGTGTCGGTTCTGGGCCCACGAATGGCGAGCCTGCACCAATTTTGGCGAGGGAATCAGCACGTTCATTTCCCTCTAGGCCGACATGTCCCGGTATCCATATTAGCGACACTTTATTCCTATCTCCCAGTATATTGAGTAGTTTCTTACAATGAAGAATCGTCATAGACGTGCTTTTCGTTGCCTCAAGTGCTTTCAGCGCGGCTTGACTATCGGAAAATATGCATATTGTTTTCCCGGTGTATTGCTGTTCTACCAGCAGTTGCACACAGGTTTCAATAGCATATAGCTCAGCTTGGAAAATCGTGGTGTGTTTTCCAAGACTGTGGTAGATCTCAGTCTTTGGACTGCTGCAGTAAATTTCTGCGCCAGATCCTTTTTCGTTTTTGGATCCGTCCGTGTACCAACACATTTCCGCATGTAATAAACCGTTTCCCGGCTTATCCCACTCGTTCCTATTCGGAAACAGGACGTTGTAGGTGCGCGTCAAGAGTTGGACTGGTGGTGTGAGATCCGAGACCATTCCCAGAATCCCATCCGACTGTAGTTCTTCTACTAGCCGGTTTTGTATGAACATGATTGTTCCTTGGCTTCCTCGTGCTATACTTAGAAACCTATATGTAGCCCATCTCGCCTCTCTTTCCAAAAGAATTTGAAGAGGAGGTAGGTCGAGTAGGGTTTCCATAGCTTTTGACGGCGTGGAATGGAAGGCACCAGTCACCGCTAGGCAGCTTGTCGTTGTAGTTTCGACAATTTATTCTTTGCCGTTATTTGGTTGGCTTTCTGCCACCAGGCAACTGCACCATACGTGATAATAGGTCTGATGGCCGTCACGTATAGCCAGTACATATTTTTGGGGTTTAATCCCCAGTTTCTACCACAAATTCGGCGGCATGCCCATAGAGCATAGCAAGCCTTTTTTGATGTTTTTTCCAGATGAGAGGTCCAGCTAAGTTTTTTGTCCAGGTTTAATCCCAGATACTTAACTTCCTCCGCAAACGGAATTGTCTCACCAAGAAGAATGGGCGGTTTCAGTTTGTCTGTTTTCCTTCTTCTGGTGAATGGTATGATCACGGTTTTCTGTGGGTTTACACTTAATTGTTCCAGTGTGCACCAGCCGTGAATTGCATCTAGGATTTCCTGTATTTTTGAGGAGATGTCCTCCTCTTTGTGTCCTTTTACTAGGATCACCAGGTCGTCCGCATATGCCTGTGCTTCAACCTCGTATGCATCGATGATTGCCATCAGGTCGTCCGCTAACAGGGTCCACAGAAGAGGAGAGAGAACTCCTCCTTGCGGGCATCCCCTGCCCGGAACAAACCTAACGGACTCACCACTGAGCGAGGTCGTTGCTACTCGATTTTTGAGCATTTGCTCAATCCATTCAGTTATGGTAGCTTCGACTCCTCGTGCTTTCACAGCGCCTAGGAGCGATTGAGGGGTGACATTGTTGAATGCTCCCTCAATATCTAGGAATATCCCTACCGCAATTTCTTTGCGATCAAAGGTACTCTTAATTTCCCCTACCAAATTGTTGAGGGCCAGTTCTGTTGATTTTCCCTGTTGATAAGCATATTGTCGGACATTCAGGGGATTAGACGTAAGAATCCTCCCCCTAATGTGTCCATCCAATATCTTCTCCAGAGTCTTCAGCAGAAATGATGTAAGGCTTATTGGTCGATATGAGCCAGGTTGTAGGTTTTGTTTCCCCACTTTCGGTATGTATACCACCTTTGCTCTCGTCCAGTCAGCTGGCAGGTGTGACCATGCCAGACTTGCCCTAAAAATTCTTAATAAGCGAGGGACGATAATGTTCTCAGCCTTCTGCAATAAGGCCGGAAACACTCCGTCCTCTCCTGGGGATTTGAATGGGTCGAAACTTTCGATCGCCCCTTTAGTCTCCCTATAGGTGATTACTTTCTTCGCTATCTCCCAATCCTCTTTTTTGGGCCGGTTTTTACGACGCATGAGTATCGGGGGGGTAGCTCTTCATCACCTAGTATCAAGCAGCCTGGGAAGTGTTTTTGGGCCAAAATCTGTAGCGTTTCTTTCCTGGACTCTGTGAAATTACCGTCGGGGCGCTGTATCGTCCCTAGCTCATTCACTGGTTCTTTTGAGAGAATCTTGTGAATTCTGGTGCTTTGAGGTAGATCGACCAGACTCCCACAGAACCTTCTCCAGGACTCTCTCTTCGCCCGTCTTATTTCCTTATTGTACTCCGCCAACGTCGCACGATAAGTTTCCCAGTTACCTGACACTTTAGCGCGGTTAAAAAGCTGCCGCATTCTTTTCTTCTTTTGTCCAGTTTGTTGTTCCACCAAGAGGACTTTCTATTATCCTTCTTTGTTTTAAGTGGACAGTTTTCACTATAAACCGTTATAATTGCACATCGCAGTTGCTCCGCTGCAATCTCGATCTCGTCGCGATCTCTCACTTTTGCAATTGTGGGTTCCAGCAGATGCACGAGTGAGCGGTTGTATCCTTCCCAATCTGTGCACTTAGGATCCCTATATTGCAGGAGAGTGCTTTCACCTACGCTTATTTCAAACTGTATGTGTCTATGATCCGAGCACGATGGCTCAGATGATACCCACCAATTGGATATCCTATTGCTCAAGTAATTAGAGCTGACCGTAATGTCTAAAACCTCTTTCCTGTTACAAGTAACAAAGGTTGGTTCGGAGCCTATGTTATTAACTACTAACCCTTCACCTATTAAGTAATTAAGAATTAACTCACCCCTGAAGTTGGTGTCCGTGCTTCCCCATGCCTCGTTGTGGCCGTTGGCGTCGCATCCTATCACCAGCTGTAGGTTTTTCCTCTTGCAGAAGGAGATTAGTTCTCTCACTTTCTTTGGAGGAGGTAAATCCGCTGTCTTGTCTCCCGGGAAATATGCTGAGCAGGCAATGAACTCCACTCCCCCTCCGCACCTCCCCGCTGGGATCTTGATATGCATTTGTATGGTTCATAGTTTATTTGCGAAAGTATTTATTACTATAAATAGGTATATATATTGTATTAATTAACTGTATATTATGTATATTTCATTTAACTATATCATTTTTAAAATACAAACCAAAAATACGAGGAACTATTGTTTTCCATGTATTCCACAACATATTTATTAATCCATAGTATTTAACTAGCGTGACGTCATATATCTCGCTCGAGGCTGTTCTATTAGAGACGGCATTGCGTCAGCATGACCGCAAGTTGCTAACCTAATAAAATTAACACTAGAAAAGCCCGCGGGAACTGTCAAATTCAAAGTTATTCGTTTCACAGACTATACTATGTTAAGACTATAGAAAGTGATTTAAAGGAAGCCTAAAATGCAATAACATACAGAGCGTATTAAAATATTTTCCTGAAATATTTTTTACAGGACCTACAGATGCCCAACGCACTTTACAGGACCCTGTATACCATAGAAGTACTTTTCATATTTGAACGAATAGGACTATTAAAAAAAACTTACTGAAGCTTTATCTTCCGTCGTATAATGTGTCAATTTCGTTAGATGATTAACCAGCTTCGTAATGATCTTTTTGAAGTAATCCTTAGGGACAGCCCTTTCTTCCTGTAGGGCCACCCTTTTCTCTAACTCGGCTATCCTGGATGAGAGGTGATCCAGAACAGCATTGTACTGATCTGGGGATAGACTACCCGATGGCAATTCGTTATGTTTAAAAGCAACCTACGGATTATGTGTCATAACAATGTACATTCAAATGCGCATTAAACGTTCTAAACAAAAAAGTTCTAATTCTTATACATTTTGTAGTAAAAGATTTGAAATAATAATAAACGCCCACACAGACCCTCTCATTATAGAACTAGCACTATATATACAGGGTGTCCCAGAAATAAGTGAAGATATTTTAATTGGTAGTATATTTCGACCCCAGAAACATGCCTATGATTTTTTTTGCAAAAAAAACTGTTGAAAATTTTATATTTTTCTTGATATTTTTGGGGAAATTTTAAAAAACGTTTTAGTGCCACTGGTTTATCCACCTGAGATTTCTCTACAGTGTATCTGAACCTTGCAGTGTTGCCACCTTCTACATTATCCATATTCAACATATTATTTTTATTCACTGTAGTTTTAAATTTGTACACAAAAAATTACGAGTATTAATTTTAATCATATCTCAGTCTATTACTAACAATTTTAGAAACAAACCGTATTAATTATTTTTTACGCATACCATACTTTTAAAGATCGCGCACACTATACCTGCACGGACCGGCACGGACCGGCACGGACCAGACCAGTAAAATCTACCGGTGAAGGTGACCGTGTTATTTAATAGAGTAGAGCACACTAGACCAGTACCAGCACGTACCGCCACAAGCCACGACCGTCAAAACAGGTCGTGTCGGTCAGGGACAAATATGACCGGCAATATTTATGCCTGGTCGTGCTGGTCCGACCTAATGTGCGCACCGGCGAACCAGCACACCTTCACAAACATGCAAATATTGAAGGGTTTGTCAGTATTTCGAGTACGCTAGCTGGCTCAAGTCGCATGATGTAGGTTAGATTTCGTTTATTTTTGTTCGAACCTTTAAATCGTTTTAAATATTGAGATGAACCGCCTATTTAAAAATAGACATATTTATTTAAATTCAAAACATTCATTTTTAAGACACTCTGTATACATAAACGAAATTATTGATTTTTAAAATATTATTCACAAACTAGGGAGAGGGAAATCAGGCGACGAACAGAGGTGATATTTGTTAGATAATAGCTTTTAGACTACCATTCGAGACGCATTGATATTATTTTGGTTCTTGAGTTCTGTGACAAAGAATGTTATTAAAGGTAAAGCAAATGTTTTCTCATTATTTAACTAATGTTAACTAAATCATATTATTTTGTTTTCTTGTTGTAATTCTTTTCTAAAGTTATTCCTCATTCATTTGATCTGACAAAGACAATATATAACATGTGTATACATTAAATGGAATCTATTTATGCTGTAAATAATTTCAGTTTAAAAGTAATCTAAATAAAATCGTTTACTGTTCCTTCGTGCCGATGTTTGTGGTTTGTGAGAATAAGAGCCTTGTTGAGTGTACTTACAATTTTCGACCTTGCATGGGCGAATATCTTAGCTCGCAAAAGGGCAAACAAAAACAATAAATAAAATAATTCATAGAATAACTTACAATTTATTAAATTATAAGATATTGGCGCCAAACCTCCAATTTAGGGTCGATTCCGCAACAAGGGACTTCGTACCTACGGGTGGGGACCCGTTAAACTAACAAAAAACTCTTCAGTTTTGAACGATATAAATGTGGCATGTTTTGAATGTATTAAACTATAAACCTAGGTATGAAGACAGTTTCTATATTATTATTTGTCTATTATTTAAGTTCAGAACAGCATAGTTAGATTCTCTGGAATAGTGATCATGGTTTTCTCTGCCGTGCTCTTTTACATGTGAATTCCAGGCAGAGTACGGCACTCCTTTCATTTCATTTAATAAAACAAGTAGGGCTTTTTACAAATTTAGCGTTTTATTTACATAACCTATTCTCCTCAAATTTCCCAAAATATTGCTTTGTCGAGGCGCATCCAAGGTAATCACAATAAAAAAATATTTAACACAACGTAGGTTCCTTTCTTTCATTTATATTTCTTGTTATACAGTTGGCCAAAATATTACCTCTTCAACTTTGTTGACGAATTTGGGTTGTTACACTGCAATATGAATGAAGAAAAGCTTATTTTACTGGTACAAAAGTATCCAGAGCTGTGCGATACGAGCCAAGCATTTTATATATAGAGACCAAGAAAGAAAAGATGCAATATGGGAGTCGATAGCAAAAAAAATTAATCAAATTTGATTTGTGACATTCGAAAATATTGGAAAAACTTTTCTTCGAATCTTTTTAATTCAGGAAACAAATGATGAAATTCGCCATATTGCTTTCTCTTTTGATTTATAGGGTGAACCCAAAATCTTCTTTTTTTCTTAGCTTCCTTCTCTTCCTCCTCTTCCTCACACAACATGGCTAAAATAATAATTTCTTCCTCTGAACTACTCATTTTCAATACTTCTATGTTGCACGCTCTAGTAGTTGAGCCTTGACAACTGTCCTTTTTTCGAAACTCTCGCTTATGTTGCTGGTCTGTGGCGGTAAAGTGTGCGATGTCATGCAGGATGCAGGTTTGTGCTGTGCTGGTCCGTACTGGTCCGTGTAGGTATAGTGTGCGCGATCTTTTATATTTATTTTTAACTATACATGAAAAATAACATTGCCATATTACAAAGTAGTTTCAATAAAATAAAACATCCTTTTAAATATTTTGCTTGTACTTACCCTTTATTTAAAAAAAAAAATTATTCTTATGAGGTTTACGAAAATCATGGTTATAACGCGAAATAACTGTATTTAGAATTAAATTTAAGAAAATAATTCACCATATTAAAAAACCGTATACGAACGACACACAACCACTCATTCCAGGGATTTCAGATTTCAGTAATTATAGCATTTACTTCTTTTGAACAAGGATTGCGGTTTTCAAAATGTTGCCATGATTCAACTTTGTTATTTTCAATTTATTTTAAAAATGGTAAAGATAAAAGATGTTTCTTTTGACAATATCTGCACTTATTTCTGGGACATCCTGTATAAAATGCCTCTAGTAAAAATCAATTAAGAAAACGCAAGGTTTGTAAGAGTCTTGTAGCAAGACCAAGATTAAGACTGGAAGACCAAGACCAACGCCAAAAGAGTCTTGGTCTTCTCCCACTAGTGAACTTTAAAGAATTTACCGATTTCTTTCTGCTTGGCCTACGAAACTTCCAATCTTTGGACTCCGTTGGGTCTGGCATGGGTTCTGTAGCGAATGGTTTCTTCTGTGAGTCGGTAAGTATACCTACGATGGCACAATTTTGACACATACAGGGCTGGTCAGGTTTGCTGTTGTTAGACTGCTTCATGTCGTTTGTACAGGCAAACATTTTCCTGATGTTGTCGTAGGTTTTGGGCGTCGTATAGATCTGCTGGTCTGGTGTCATGCTACTTTTAGGAAGATTTATCTTCTAGAATTTTAAAAAATAATTACTTAAAAAATATATACTTTAAAATTTGTGGACAAATAATTTGATCGCTAACACCCATCACCCATTAGAGGTTTTGCAGCAGAAGAAGAAGAAGACCAATCATTATTACTTACCTGGTTATACAAAGAGTACACTAACGAGTTAGTTTCATCAGTGGCGTACGGATTATCGCCCTGCTCCAATTTGACAGGTTCCTCCATGATGGTTTGTCTGCATTTTGACGACAGAGCCAATTTCTTCTTCCTTCTCGGACTGGCTTCGGTGCTTTTCGGTTCTTCTCGCTTCCGTGCTTTGTCAGCAAGGGCTGCGTTATCGCCAAAAAGTTTTCCGATTAGGCTTTTCCTGCTATCGTTGCCCAGGTTCATCGCAGCGATCAATTCCCGAACTTGGTTCGTCTTTAGCGTTTGTTTTTCGGTGGTGAACTTGTCTGGACCTTTGGGCTTGATTACGGTTACGTCGAGTAAGGCGGATGGGCATTTTTCTGGACTTTTCATTATGTCTCTAACCTTTAAGAAAATATTTAGAGGATTTTAAATGTTCAACAAAAGTAAAACCGACGTGACGGTGAAAAAATATCATAAAAATGATAATAAAAGTTCTTCATTTTATTTTAGAGAATAACTTATTTAAAACTTTTTAAAGAACTCTTTACAACGAAGAAAATTGTTCTTTTTTAATAATTATTTATGCAAGTTCTTTTTTTGAGTTATGACAGATACAACAAAAACTTAAAATATCAAACATAGCAATCACAAATTATGTCACAATATGACGAATCTCTTATGATTTTCTTCCACAGATCTGTCAAAAATATCTTAAATTATGTTCTCTATGAAGAGTTAGAGAGCACTCTGTAAACAATAATACAATTTTTTAAAACTAAATATATTACGTAGACAAGTAAAAATACTGCTTCAAAAGAAATTTTCAACCAAATCACAAACTTAAGTACTTGATGATTATATTATGGGAAAAATGGAGAAAATTTGCCCTTCGTTCTTCACCCCTTGCTTGGAATTTTTTTTTCTATTTTTTCGTCACTATCTATTTCTTTTAGCATTTTTTATGTAAATATTCAGGGTTGTTCAGTACATACGACACGGAGTATTGGTTGTAGCTAAACGATTAGATTTTTACAAATTGTAAGTTTTGTTCGTTGAAGGACTATTAGAGCTATTTTTACAAGATACAGAGTCTCCCATATAAATAAAAAATATCAAAGCTCTATTTTTTTAAATAGAACACCCTGTATATTATTACATTTTTAGTTTCTATGATTAAAATAAAGGTAAGTTTGATTAAGGTTTATCACCCTTAAATCTTACCGTTTTTGAAATATTTTCAATTTTGTGAAATTGAGGTAAAAATTTTAAGGCTTCATTTCTCCAAGGGTATCAAAGTTTTTAATACTAAATATTAACTGAAGTTTAATTATTGATCAGTTATTGTGTTGCAATAATAAAAATAATACTACCTCATACAGAGTGTCTAAAAATTTATTTTAAATAATTTCTAGATTTAAACGGCAATAACTTGTTTAATTTAAATGGAACACCCTGTATATTTTAGAAGAATCAGATGCACAATTTAATTGTCCATCAAACCGTATTATACCATTTTTACCTATCCCTTCAAGTTTTCATAGAAAATGCATTTTCTTATAATTTAGACTTATTTATCAATATACCCATGGAATAATGACATTTTAGATTGTTTTTAAAGCAACAAATGTACAGGTGCTAAAAACGATAATATTACCAGCTTATTTGTATTCAAAAATAAAAATATTTAAATTTTTATAAAAGAGTATACCATTAATTAAATTTTTCACCATTATTTCTGCCCAAATATTAATTAATTACATATTTAATTTTTGATAAAGCAGTTTTTCATTTTTCACAAATTTTCGAAAATGAATTCGATTGCTTTAATTGTCAGTCAAATTTTTAGTCATCTGCTCTATCGAAAGGCCCTAATCGTAATTTCCGAATAGTAAGTTACCTGCAGCTGCTAGAGGATAGCTGAAAAGCAAAGCGAATGCTAGCATTTACTAGTAAGTCCAATGAATTCTAACATTCACCAGAAAAAGTTTGTTTGAAGCTTGTTTCGAAACACGATGTTGAACTTTTACACTGTCGTGTTCGCAAATTAGTGAATGTGAGCTTTTACTAGTAATTGTTAACTCTTTGATTACTGGGTTTTACTGTAACATATATACCTCATCATCCATTTCGACTTCGAGACATAATTCGATGTTCTTTGACTGAGTCTCATCCACCTTACTCACGTGCGTGTAATGCGACTTTTTACTCCTCAGCTCATCATTTTCTTCATTGCGAAATTTACTTTTGCGTTTTAACATTGTCCCTTCTTCGGCGAACCATTCTGGTGTATCCCCGAGACTATTCCACGTACATAACAATTTAGTTTCAGCGAAATAAAACGACAGACACGTCAAATTTTGAACACCGAATTGCCACAAGTCGAGTTTTTGCATAAACGTCACCCTTCTGTCTAAATTACGTTTATTTTTTTGCCTGATCGACACTATGGCCGCTGTCGCGTGTGAAATCGTGGGCACCGGTGATGGTAAGATCGAAAATCTGCACAAGAGTAGTGATCGACTGACATCGAAAGTGATAGCGAAGGAACTGGTTTTGGAGATCGTGAACAGCGCTCTGGATATGGTGGAGGAATCGTCGTGCTCCAGGGAAATGATGGAGAACGAGGAGAAAATTAGAGATAAGAAATGTTACGGTAGCGATGATCCGAAAGAGAAGATAGTGGTTCCATTAAAAGGTAATTGGTTTGTAGTAAATATACACTGTTTTCAGAGATGCGACTTATTTCAGATGCAAGTATCTGAAATACAGAAATAACATACAAAATACATATTTTCATCTAATACTTGAAATTATTTTTTAAAATTTATCTTGTATTTAGATAGATACATTTTTTTAGTATCATAGTACCTATAAATACTTAGTTTGCTAAAATATTTTTACTAATTATTACCTATGCATATTTTTTACTTTACGACCAGAGAGAACACTAATAACCTTTGAATAAGAAGACTAAGGAAGGATCATAGTTGTCGCCCGGCGACGTAGGTTTCTTTCCGAGAAACCCGACAGCGGTCGGTGGCAATGCTATGAAGGAAGCCGGCATCTTTGATTTTTTGCGGAGTCATATAAAGATAAGGACACATTATTTTTTTTATTGAGGTACTAGTATTTACACAGAAAATACATTATGAAGGGCGCTGTTGCCATATATTGGTATTAGTTGATATTAGCAAAGAATATTATTGTTTGGCTTTAGTTAGTTAGCGATAGTAGGTATGTATAAATATTTTGCATTTTTTTTTATTAATATTCTGTTGTTAGGTTAGGTTAGGTTAGATAATAAAATATTTTGGATGTAGGAAAATAATTTTTAATGTTTTTAAGCAAAGACTGGTTTAATAAAAATAATAATAACAGTAATAATTTGTTATACCTATAACAACAAAATTTAAAATAATTTAATATAAACATTTTTTTACGTAGTAGCAAAATATAAACAACAAATTAGATGTCATAATTATTTATATTAGATCCTATTTAAAAATAATATAGTCTTTAAATTTTTTGTGGCAACGTTGGTTTATTAAATAATAATAGTTACAGAACTAATTTGTTATATTAATAACAAACTTTAAAATCATGAAATATAAACATTTATTAATTTTCTAAACATGCAGTGTAATGGAAAGAAAATATAAATAAAAAATTAGAAATCAAAATTATTTATATTAGGTACTTTATATTTACTATTTAAAAATAATATTTACTTTTACTGGCATTTACTTTAAAAAATAAATGAAATATTTCTTCGCAAAAAACTACATGTAAGAGAATTTAGTATAAACAAAAAACAAACATTGTTAACTTTTTTTTGTGTAAAACTTTCAATTTAATTTTTTCACCCCATAGTTAGAGTTCGAGAACCATTTACTTCACCACATTACTTAAATATGATTATTAAGTTCAACTAATTCGTATTATTAAAACATCTAAAATACAAATATGTATTTTTAAAATTAATTCTAAGTTCATCTCATCTCTCTTAAAAATTGCTACTTCTCAAAATTTCCCATTAAAAAATAGACCTATAGACCATATAAAATAAAATAATTGAAAGATCGGGCTACGGAAAATCACACAAATTTTCGGAAAAATTTTGACACCTGCACACAAAACTACTATTTTAGTATTTTAAATATTTTAATAAACGCAAAAATAGCACAGTATTTATAAGGTGAAGTTATAAACATTTGGAAGAACTAATAATGCACTGACGCACACAAAAATCAAACGAATACTAAATTTCATTTATCAAAAGCATTCGATAGTCGTGGCTCAACGATAACCATTTAGTCGCACGGCGAGGTTGTCACATATGCTTTAGTATACAAATGAATGAATGATTTTATTCGAATAAAACCATTCGATAGTTGAAATCATTCATTCAGTAACCATTCGATAGTCTAATTCATTCGATAGTTCCCATCGCTAGTAAATATACACTGTTTTCAGAGATGCGACTTATTTCAGATGCAGGTATCTGAAATACAGAAATAACATACAAAATACGTATTTTCATCTAATATTTGAAATTATTTTTTAAATTTTTTCTTGTATTTAGATAGATACATTTTTTTAGTATCATAGTACCTATAAATACTTAGTTTGCTAAAATATTTTTACTAATTATTACCTATGCATATTTTTTACTTTACGACCAGAGAGAACACTAATAACTAAAGTAAGAGAGACCGATCAACGTTAATTTCTGAAGACTGTGTTAGTGGCGCGGCCTTTGGCGTCTAACCCGAACTATGAGCGCATTATCGATATAGTAGGTTGCATTCATACCTATATACTGGCGCCAAAAATTGAAAATTTGTATATTTGAACCGAATCTTAATCTTTCAAGTTTATAATAAGAAATCTTCGTAGTTTGTATAGATTATTTTGTTGACAACGAAAATTTATTATTAGACTTTAAAGCATTAAAACCTATAAATAAAATAGTGTGTAGGAACATAATAATTTATTTAACTCCATACTCCTTGCGATACTACAACTCAAGGCTGCAATCTTCAGTATCTTTTTTATCTAACTTGGTTGGGAGTCCCTGTTCACTCGGTTCACGGTTGGGAGCTCGCACAGAGTATCAGTAGGTATCCCGTAGGTATTCAATGTTTTTGATAGTCTTTATTCTATAACAAGAACCTAGCAGTTGAAGAAAATAATTTGTATTACTGGAAATAATACCAGGTATAATACCTAGTCGTTCCATAGGTATCAGAAAAGAATGTAATGTTTTAAATTAAAAAAATTAAATTAGCAATGTACGATTATTATGTGAACTCACTATTACTATTAGGTATGTTAAAATAATTACCGAGATAAAACTTACCTTTAAAGGAAACTTTTTCTCTGGGTCTCAACCACAAAACGAAAATTACAAAAATGCCGAATAATCGTGGAATCTGAAATAATCAATAATGACAATAATCTTCTCTTCTGACAAGCTAAAAGAACAGGCACATTCAGTCAAAAACAATTTATTACTCCGATTTGCTCCGATTATCAACAGGTTTTAGTTATCTCCTTCTAGAACTAAGAAATAGAAAAAGCTACTGACAATCTAACTAATCCTGTCAAATGTTTAACTTGCAAAGTTGAAAACTTCCTTTTTTGACCGCCTAAACGCTATGCGCGTCTGGGATGCGCGGTGACAAAATAAACTTGTCTACGAAATGCCCTATTCCACAAGCCCTCTCACTTTAGTTATTAGTTTCTCTTTGTTTACGACCATCAATCATCAAATGGACCAAACCAATGTCGCTAGATCAAAATATACAGGGCCCTGATACAACAAAAAGTCAAATAGAAAAGTAACAGATTTTTTCTTCAATGTTTTCTTTCAAAAAGTATTTAAAAAATACGTTTTTATATCTAGTATTTCTAATACTACCTTTTCTAAAAGTATTTTGTAACTAAATAAAATAACGCTTTATTGTACAAAAAGCCAAAATAGCTTCATCGACAAAGCATTTACAAAACAAACAAAAGCACAGAAAATATACAAATAATAAAAATATCATACAATACAAATCATACAATTCAAAAAAAATTACGTGATTAAAATTACTACATTAATACATACATACATACTGCCATTACTCGCTGACGAGTATTCGACACGCATCAAAAGATGGTCACGCAAGGCGTTTCCTTTCATGAGCTTTTCTGTGGCTGAAAAGCCCGATACGTGATGTTATTTGCCTACCGCACTCCGGACATTCAAAAATCTCATTACATTTTTGACTCTTTACTTTTTGGTTGTCGCTGTTAACTGAGTTTACAATTCTTCTCCATTGAGTTCTATTGTGAACTGCTCTGAGTTCTATTGTGAACATTAATACATGGACATTGCAGAACACAAAAAAGGCGTGTCAATAAAATTTTACAATAGGAAAATTGTAAATGGATATAATGATTTAAGAGTCATAAAATACTAAATACTAGACTTTTAACCAGTGTGTGAAATGATCAAAATTTTAAAATTCAAAATTGTTCATGATTAAAGTTCATGATAAGTATGATATCAGAGCTTTGCGAAATGCGGGAAAGAATGAGAGCGACTTAATATTCAAAGGCAGATGATTGTACATTTTTTTGGCATTGCACAGTATTGAGTCTTTAACTAGTTCTGAGCTCGGGGTTGGCAGATAAAGATCGTGCTCCGCATTCCTAAGTGGATAGTTGTGATATGGCTTTTCGGGAATAGCAGATATGTGCTTGCGGATTAAGCAAACGGATTAAAAAATGAATAAAGAAGGAAGAGTCAGTATTTTGAAATTTTTAATGAAATTCTGGCAGTGAGTTCTACTGTTCAGTCCCAATAAATATCGAACTGCTCTCTTTTGAAGTTTGAAAATACGATCAAATTTTGTCGCGCAGCAAGTACCCCGGAATAGAAGGGCATAACGAAGATGCGACTCAAAAAGGGCATAATAGACTATTCCAGAGGTTGATAAGTTAAGTTCCTTAGAAACTGATCTTAGCGCAAAACAGGCAGCGCTTAGTTTCTTTGATAAAGCTTCGATGTGCAAGTCCCATTTTGACGAGTTGTCTACAACAAGTCCTAAGAATTTCACAGAGTCCACGATGTCAATAGTGATGTTATTAAGTAGAAAAGATTGTATAGTACATATTATATATGACAAAACTTTAGTAGGTTGATGCATAGGAGATTAGAATCGCACCAAGATTTAATGGTGCGTAAGTCACTGGATATAGTATTATATAGTGTCGTAACATCTGGGCCTCTCCAAGTGAAACTAGTATCGTTCGCAAAGAGGCAGATTTTACCGCTAATGTGTAGATTTGCAATGTCGTTGATAAACACCAGAAACAAAATAGGACCAATTACTGAACCCTGAGGAACACCACGTTCTATAGGCTTACAAGAAGACATAGACGTTATCATCGTTACTGATATCTCAAATACTTTGCTTAGAAGTATCTTTGTAACTTTAGATACTGTATTTCAGATACTTTTTAAGAGGTATCTTGTACATCTCTGACTGTGTTTAGTTTAATATTCAAAGTGCATATATCTGTTTCTACAAAGATTTGGTTTTTCAAGTTTAGGTGAAAATATAGTACATGGGTACTATATTTTTATAGAAGACATAGACGTTATCATCGTTACTGATATCTCAAATACTTTGCTTAGAAGTATCTTTGTAACTTTAGATACTGTATTTCAGATACTTTTTAAGAGGTATCTTGTACATCTCTGACTGTGTTTAGTTTAATATTCAAAGTGCATATATCTGTTTCTACAAAGATTTGGTTTTTCAAGTTTAGGTGAAAATATAGTACATGGGTACTATATTTTTATTTTTTCGCATTCTTGTGTGTTTTATAAGATTTCTCGTTTATGAGTAGAGATATAAGAGATACAAAGGTCCTTTAATAGATTACAGTAAAAGATTGGAACATTTGATGTTATACAACAGCAAAATAAAACACTAATTCACCACAATGCACCAAAACAGTTTACTTTTAACACTGGACTAGTGTTCAGTGTTAAAAGTAAGTTGCTCCGAAATGAGATATAAAAATGGTGTATTATCTCAGAACTTTGAACAAACTTTACATATATTTCTTTTTAATATTCTAGGCACAGGTGACCAAGGAAGTAACGAAGCTTTCGAACAAACGGAAGTATGTCCATTCCATCCTCCTGTCGAAAAAAAGAACCGTCTAACCGATCTGGTCAAAAACTCCAAGCAGCTGCTGGCTAAGATCATGATGAGCGAAAGCAAAGTTTCTTTTCAACAGCAGAAAAAGGAAGAACAGGAAGAACACGTGGTTGACGTAATAGAACTGGACTGCATACAAATTCACGATTTACCCTTCACATGCCGTCAAAAAATACTTCCTGAAGAGGTACCTTTACCAAGAAACGACTCGCTTGAAATCCTTAATCCACCCATAGAAGAAGCGTCTTTAGAAGAAGATCAAGATATAGGAGAAGAAAGTGAGGTAATGCCTGGAAAATCTAAGGAAAGCTTGAAAAAAACGTCAACTTTTCCGAGGAGTAATGGTGCAAAAGCCAAGGCTGCGTTCGCAGCTAAGTGCCGAACGTTGAGGATGAGCACTTTGAATTTGAAGAAGAAGAAATGGAACGTCGGAGGTAGAATAGTGAACTTTTTCAAGAAGAAGAAAGATAGTAAAGCTGCGGTGAATGATCCGATGAAGAGCGATGGTGTGGAAGATCTACCAAACAAAGATAACGAATAAAAAATAATAATTTAAGTTGATTTTCAAAATTCGGTGTTGAGTTGGGGTGTTTATTTGGTTTAATATATAGATTTATTAAACAAGTGTTTGTTTTCTATTAATATGGTTGTAAACAAGTAATGTTGATGTTGTTGATTCAAGTAAGAACAATCTGCAGTTTGATATGAGGTTTTTAACAGGACACTGTCTCCTCAATGAACACCTCAGTGGATTGAAACTAAGAAAAAACGGCGAATGCAGATTTTGTGGGAAAAAATGGAGAAAAACCAGGACACCTATCACTGACTGATATCGGAGATGGAGAACTAACCTCTGTAAAATCTTCTCAGATACTGGCTTTTGTCAAAGCCCTGAGACTGTATGATGAGTTATAACTCAAGAAATGGGGACACAATAGATCTATATTAAATGTCTTTTGCCGAAATCTTCTCTGACTCATTAGACAGATTAGAGACACATATACTGATAAAACCTATATTTCTTTTATACATAAAGGCATCTTTTAATAGGCAAATAATAACATGCAATTATTCTGATATGTATAAATTTCTTTTAATATTTAAAATTTAGAAGTTTTTACTTTTTAAATAAAATCAGTATGTACCGGGTGTCCCACTAAGGGCACTAAGAATAGCTCTCGGCTGTATCTCGGAAAGTATTAGTCGTAGGGTTTACGAAAAAAAAAAATAGTTATAACTAAAGGGCTATGAGAAATTTCTGGAAATTATTTTCAAATTTGTAGAACGACCGCTAGGGGGCTCAACTGCAACAAAAAATATGAAAATGGAGTTTTTACACAATTCTGCCTAGATAAGGTGTACTATAAGTAATAGCTTCATAATCTTCAGTAAATTTTGAATATTTTTTGTTAGAATCATTTTCCCCAATCTACCAAAATAAAGTGGTGGGGGAAGGTTAGATCTCTTTTTATTTAAATATTAATAACTCTGCACTGGATAATCAGAATCCAACAAGTGAGGGCTCGTTTAAAAGAGCGTTTATTACTCTATATTGTACCATATAAACAGTAATAATAAGCTTTTGAACGTAGACGCTAGGGGGCGTTGTCTTAAAATTTAACAAACATTGCGCGTTTTTTCAAAAAAATTAAATGCAATAGTAAATGTAATTTTAGCTGATAGTAAAGAGTAGTAAAAGCTTAAAAAGTCAGAGAAAACCGCATCTTGATATCGTCTTTCAAACCGTAGATATGAGCAAAATTATAATAAATACCAAAAAATAAGCCCTTAATTACCTTATTTTTACAACACGATTTCAGTAGCCCTCTTAATTATGCCCATTCTAACAAAAAAAAAATAAGATAGAAACAGTTAGTTTATTTTAAAATCGACGAAATACCAGAATACCATAATACCAGAGGTATTAATATCTAATAATTAAGATATTAATAACAGTGAACAAGAAACGATGATTCAGTGAAGTGATGGTAGGCTTTGGAAAAAAGTTGCTTTTGACGTAATAGTATAAACGTCAAATTGTTATTAGATCAACATTTTGATAGTCTTATCAGCGTTTTTTATCTTTTTTATTGCTTTTTCAAAATGCCAACAACTTATTTCAAATAATAAAGGCATTTCGTTGATTTTAAAATAAACTAAATGTTTCTATCTTATTTTTTTTTGTTAGAATGGGCAGAATTAAGAGGGCTACTGATACCGTGTTGTAAAAATATGGGCTTAATTAAGGACTTATTTTTTGGTATTTATTATAACTTGGCTAATATCTTCAGTTTGAAAGGAGATATCAAGATGCGGTTTTCGCTGACTTTTTATGCTTTTACTACTCTTTACTACTTTAACTACCAGCGAAAATTACATATACTATTGCATTTAATTTTTTTGAAAAAACGCGAAATGTTTGTTAAATTGTAAGACAACGCCCTCTAGCGTCTACGTTCAAAAGTTTATTATTATTGTTTATATGGTACAATATAGAGTAAGAAACGCTCTTTTAAACGAGCCCTCGCTTGTTGGATACCGATCATCCAGTCCAGAGTTATTAATATTTAAATAAAAACAGATCTAACCTTCCTCCACCACTTTATTTTGGTAGATAGGGGAAAATGGCTTTAACAAAAATATACAAAATTTACTGAAAATTATGAAGCTATTACTTATAGTACACCTTATCTAGGCAAAATTGTGTAAAAACACCATTTTCTTATTTTTTGTTGCAGTTGCGACCCCTAGCGGTCGTTCTACAAATTTGAAAATAATTTCCAACAATTTTCCATAGCCTCTTTAGTTATAAATATTTTTTTTCCGCAGCCCCTACGGCTAATACTTTGCGAGATACAGCCGAGAACTATTCTTAGTGGGACACCCTGTATATCTGTTTATATTACTTAATACTATATACAAATCAATTACAGACACATTAGGGTTTTCACTTTTATTTTTATGACAATATGAATAATTTACAATAATATAACATAAAATATAACCGACGACAAAAAATTGTCGGGAAATAGCAAAACTTAGGCAAATACAATTTTGGATTTGATTTTAAATGGAGTTCTTGCATGGTTTTGACAATAAGTTTTCCATGGTGCTGATGGTATAGTCTTGAAAACAGTGCTGACTTCTGATGGTCGTTACCTATCCAGATAGAGATGACTTTGTACAGTTTGTGGATTTTTGCCTTTTTTTGGTAGCAGCACGTACTCAGGTAACTGAAAATTGTTAAAAATATTATTACAAAGATAGTTTAAATGAAACTGTGAATAGTTATAACACATTTTCGTATTATTTCTTTTAATAAGCAGCAATATAAGAAAAACATTGTTAAAAAGAGTAACCAAAGAAACATATTGTCAAATTTTTCTGAATATTAAAAAATGAATTTTAAAAGTATATATGTTACAGTAAAAGTTGGAAATCAGTGATTGTTAACAATTACTAGTAAAAGCTCACATTCACTGATTTGCTAATACTACGCCAGTAAAAGTTCAACAGCTATTTTTGAAACCAACTTTTACTAGTGAATGTTAACATTCCCTGGACGATACGATAGCAGTAAGTTTGAAAGATTCAGTCAGCGCGGTTGCCACATGTGGTAAAATATAAGGATAAATAAGGATAAGTTGAATAATAGACATTATAAGGATAACATTAAATTGGGCTAAACGTTAGCAACGTTGACAGCATCTGGCGTAAATTCGCTTTGTTTTTTGTGGTTATGTATAATTGTTTTGTTATCGTTTTAAAAGTGCTGTGCGGTATTTTCCCTATGGAAAAAATTTTCTGTGAAAAATTAAGATAAACTAGGCACTCGCAAGAATGTAATAGTGCTTGTTTTTTTATTTTTGCAATATAGTGAAGTCATAGCAAAAGTTAAGCGTGCAAGATAAAAAAATATTAAAGAACCTAGTGACTATGAACTTATTAAACGTTTTGATCTGCCTGAAGTAGCGGGTTTGAAAAAATGATAACTCCCAGTTGAAGAAAATTCGGGCATACCTTTATTTTGTCCATGATGAAGAATTTTATTTAAAAATCTTTATGCCAATAAGTAATCTTATGTTTATGAATGTTTTTTTTAAATTCTTTTGTACGCTTTAAAACGTATACTATCGCTTTTAATATTTAGAAGGATATGTCGTTATTTTCTATAATTTTTAATAAATATACTAAAGAAGTAAATTGTAATTTTAAGATATGTGGATCAGCTTGAATATTGAGGTGATCCAATATTCTTAAAAGTTTTATTTGTTCTAACTCTCACCAACATTCTTCCTCTCCACACTCGTCCTGTACAATAGAATAACTTTTACTGACGCCCTTTAGTAAATGTTACTTTCACTAGTGAATGCTAGAAATTACCAGGAAAAGTCGTCAAATATCTTTAAAATACCACATTCACTGGTCCAATCCGTAATTGCTAGCATTTCCTAGTGAATGTCAATAATCACTGAATTTCCGACTTTCACTGTAACATATACATGACTGATACAAAGTATAAAATAGAAGACTCAGGTTAACAGTCGCAATCTATACACTTTACTTCAAATGACAATGAATGTTTATTCAACTAGCAAAATGAAGCGTGTGAACGCAAACGCCGTTTTCCGTCTGTCAGTAACATTGGATCACTGAACCTGAATGATGTGAAACCACCATTAGAAAATAAGCAGGCACAAAATGGTGCTAAACAGCACAACAACAAACAACAAATGGGCAAAATTAAAGAAGAAAAAAATGTATAATGGAAAATAAAACATGACGAAATCAAGAAAAAGATGAAAAAACGATGAAATCAAGAAAATTCAACAATAGATATTATAAGCAGTAATAACTTCCAGGCAATAAATATAAATTTACGTTATGAAGCAAAAAGCATTAAGAGCGAAGCGTGCTGTCGATTTGCAACAGTTGCATTGGCTAAGCTGCAGCTGGCATAATCCACAACGACTACTTACTTAAATTACATAAAATAACTAAAAATAGCTTCTTACGCCATCATCTTTTTAAGGAATGCTGAAAAATCATTGAAATCGTTTATTGCAACTAATCAAAAACAGAAAGAGAATCAACAGTCTCTTCCAAGTCAAAAAATATAAAAAAATAGTTAAAGGACTAATAATTCTAAATTCTCTAATAAAAATATCTATAAATAATTCTATAATGCAAACTTTATTTCATTTTAAATTGTTTTTATTAACAGCAAATAAATCGTTAAGTCAACTTTTTTGCGCTTCTACAGAATAAAAAAATGTTTTTTTGTAAAAACCACTGCATTGGATCCAAGCGGAAGCCATCTTGTGAGTGTCTTTTTACTAGTAAAACAAATCTGTCTAACCCAGGAACAGTTAACCTAATAGGACTGCTCATTCAGCCGAAAGTGTCTGCCAGGTGCATTCGAAAACTCTTCGCTGTGTGACGTCATTGTAGTCCCTGTCATGACAGTGTGTGTATTATTGGTTGCCGTATGCAAAACATTGATTATTTAGTTTATTTATTTAAACACCTTATATGTATGCAGTATAGAAAATTAACTTTATAAATCGTACTAAATATTCGCATAATGCATTTTTAAGTACAGAAGTTCCCTGTATCACCTTTTGCAGGCTTTCTTTTTAGAGTACTTACATATTTTGCTTTAAAATAATTAATAAACAATATCGTAGGCACTTAGTAAGCACTTAATCACAATCCACGACACAAAATGAACGTATTTATAAACTCTATAGCTCTAAAAACTTTAAAAGCATCTTTTTCACATTTAAAATCGACAAAATAATTAACTCAACATTTCTCAGCTGTTATTTTTATTAATTTACCCTGAGCAACCAATAATACACACTATCATAACAAGGACTACACTGACGTCACAACTGTCAGTTGAAGCGCGGGAAGAGCCGAACGTACGTCTTATGAGGATGAGCAATCCTATTAGTTTACCGTTCTTGTGTCTAACCGAAATGGTTACAGGCGGTTTCAGGGGGCATAACAAGACAAGCGTAGTTTCAATAGTCAATTTACCATACTATCTCTGAAGAATCAAATATTAAAGTATTAAAAAACTTTTCTCATTTCCTTAATAATTTGCTATTTCTTACTTTAAAATTTACTTGCTGTCATGAAATATTTTAGCTACGTTAGGTATTTAATTATAAATTATACTTACGTTCGTAAGGGATGAATCCTTCATCATCTTCTTTGTCCAGGCAGTCAGCTAAAACTTCATCGGTTTCAGCGTCTGATAATCTTTCGCCTAAAAGGGAGAAATAATCTTAAATATTGCACACTTTTCTTGTCAAAAATATTGCTTGTTTGAACTTGGTGAACACCGATATTGACAGATTGACATAAATAGAATTAATGAAAGAAACTCTATTTTTATATCGCTAATTTTTATCTCACACAACAAGAAGCAGAAGAAGTCTACTTACCAAGGGAAAGGAGGGTGTGTGCAAGTTCAGCAGCCATCATTTTACCGTTTTCTTCTTTGTCGTAGAGTTTCAGGCACTCGAGGAAGTCGTCGAAGTTACCCTGTTCTTTGTCTTTCTTTACTTGGCTGAAGATGGGAAGGAATTCTTCTACTTTAAGTTTCTTTTCATCTAAAACATTATTCACATGTTAGTATTTCCTCAAGCGAATATAAATTTGTTAAAGTCGATATCATTTTTTTTGTGTTCGTTAATATGTTACAAGTCTGCTGGCATCTAATAGTAGTCTCTTTATTTAACAAGAGACTTATAAATTAGAGGTTTGTCATTGTAAGCTTTTCATTTGTTGGAATAAATTGGTGGTCTCAATTGGTGTAGAAGATTGTTTCTCTAATGTCAAAGTAGTCATTCAGAATGTCCAAATTACTGGTAGTAACTTTCAGTTAGTGAAAAAAGTTAACAAACCTCTAATTTTTCCAGTAATTATACTTCAAAATTGGTGTATAATTTCATTTTAGTTTTTGATTATAATCTGACAAGAGAAATAGTGGATATAAATAAAAAGTTAAACTCGCAATTAGTGGAATAAATTACTGGTTTCAATTACACTTGTGCTCATTCAAATTGTGTAGAAAAAAACACAATTAAAATTAATAGAATATCTTAGCAACAGTTTGCGGTAATCAGCTGTACCCCTTGAATAAGAAGACTAAGGAAGGAGCATAATGCTATCCATGTATTCATGCATGGTGGGCGGAAAAAGGACTCTAGGGTGGGGATCCTTGACAGTTCTGTTTGACGATTCATTTGACACATTTGAATTTGATTTGAAATTTTGTGGATTTGTCAGTCTTTACGGAGCTTATTTTATGTTATTTATTATTTATTCTACTACTGATAGTTGTATAATGGTAGTAAATCTCGATGGAAATTGTGGCAGAACTTAAATTAACAGTGACACTCGCGATTTATCGAAAAAGACTCTAAAATATTTGGTTGTGTAGCGTGCGGTAGATCTCGGCAATCGAGTGAAATAATGGAACAACTTTTCGCTAGTAAGTGACTATATAATATACATACGTGTGTAGTAAACCGATCATTTATGAAATTCACTTAAATTAACTAATTATATATTTTTTCTTGCTATTTTGCTTTTATTTACTACTTGTCAAAGATTAGATGTCAAAGAATTTAGATACGTCAATTTGAGTTATCTGCTTCAGTAGCGCATCGGATGTTTATGGTTATAAATAATTATTATAACTTATCTATTTTTAGTAGAATTTTATATTTTTATAACAATTTTAATAACTACCAACATTTATTCACAACGTAAAATAAAACACTGATAAACCGGAATTTAAGTCGGCCATATTTGAGGCCCATCGCGGTGGACCTAAGATTTTTGATATGCTCCTTCCTTAGTCTTCTTATTCAAAGGTTGTGCCTGATAAAGATAAACTTGTTGTGAAGATAAACTTTTGATTTCTAACCACATTTTCTCTTGACGGATGATAGTTAAAGGCGAAAATGGCATTTCTCAAAAATTTTGAAGTATAATTAGTGAAAAAGTGAAAAGTTTGTTAACTTTTTTCACTAATTGAAAATTCCTACCACTAATTTTAGCGTTCTGAATGCTTACATTCAAATTTGAGGAACAAACTTCTGCGCTAATTGAAACCACTAATTGCGAGGTTCTGAATGAAGCTAAAAGTTAACAAATTTCTAATTTTTTCCAGTAATTATACTTCAAAATTTGTGAATAATATAATTTTAACTTTTGATTGTTATGTGCCAAGAGAAATCGTGGATAGTATAGTAAACGCCACGAATGTTTGGGAGTGATTCATCGCTTGATGAAATTAGAATCGACACGCGCGCTATCATTTTTACATTAAAAACGTAAATTTTTACCGCAGACGTAGGTTTTTAAAGGCCCGGTCTAATCATCTTCCTGCGCTCCTCCTACTTATTCTAAAATGTTAGCGTGATTGACAAAGACGATACTATATCGCGTTTCTTTGATTAATTCGTTTTTGTGCGTCAGTCCATTGGTGTGCTTGCGGTGCGATCAATGGGGCATTTCAGTTTATATTTATAATCAAATATTTGTTTTGACAAGACTTTGACAGTTAAAACAACAAATTACAACAGATTATGTATTGATTATTATATGACTTGAAACACCACGACACTGGAATTAAGTTTTATGTAACCTTCAGCAGATTAGTTCACATGGTAGCGACCGATCAATCACTCCCAAACATTCGTGGCGTTTACTATATATTGTTTTATTAGGAGTAAAAATGATACCTTTTGTGGCGAGGCTATACGTTTGACAGCGATTGCAGGCGAGGCAGAAAAGGCATTTTTACTCCAAATAGAACATGCTTATTTTTTCTAACGTCACCAATAATTTTTAAGCAATTTTAAACGTTCCATATAGTACTAAATAGTATAAAAATATTTAAAAGTAATATCCTTTATGTAATTATATATCGAGAAACTTTGGTTACGCCAATTACGAGAAACCATGGTTACTAATTATTATGCTTTCTCAATAGATACCTAACTAACTATCGCAAGTTGTTGCTAGGATATTCTCTTAATTTTATTTAGATTTTTATCTACAACCGTTTAGTTATAACGTTTTTACATCACTATTTTTTTAGTATTTCAGTTTGAAGAGACGTTATGAGATTCATAACACAACTAGTGGTGTTATGAATCTATAGACAACTAGTTTTTATAATAATGAAAAACAACTACGAACATCTAAATATATTAACTTTTCCGGTAATAATGATTCCGTGGCACGTACAGTTCGTCTGCTGGATCTGTGTCTATGAAAGGAATGCGGACAAAAAGCATTTAAATAAACAGCAATATATTTTATACGTCGACTTGAAAAGTACGTCACCGCAAATCGCTCCGCCCACTTATTTTATTGGCTAGGTACTTGCAAATTTGTCGAATTTTTATTGATGGGACGCATCGTCTAATTTTTTACGAAAAACATCGAGAGAATATCGTTTCCCATCTCACGGATACCCCGTAGCCACAGAACGGACAGACGTACTGTACTGCGGCAACTTCTACATCTGAAAGGAGACTTTCGGAATCGCTCATCGTAATTTTTAAATGATTTTTCTGGGCAAAAAGTGCTCGCGTTTACTTGACAGGGCAAACTGACTTTTCAGAAAAAAAGTGACAAATGTCATAGTTAAAGGTGGGCGACTAATAAACGAAAATTAAAACAGTATCAACAGTATTTTCTTATTTTTCGGTTGTACTTGACAGGTGCGTTTAAACATGATTACAACACTCGTGTGATTAGAACGACTCGGTCTACGACCTCGTCGTTCTAATCGTTCACACTCGTTGTTGTAATCATGTTCATAAACACACTTGTACTGTAAATAACTATTATTAGACATTGTGAATGATCGTAAACTCTATAATATAATCGTTATTGTCTATAATTTTTTATAGACAATAGACAATAATGAAACTATAAGTAAAAAGTATAATTATTGAAGGGGTGGCTGTAATAACCAGGCATCTCCACTTTTGAGAGAAATGAGATTTCTACTGAATTACCCTGCAACAATCAGCTATCTTCATGTGACAGTACTTAAAGAGCAATGCTATTTGGAGCAGCCTAGCTTTCAGTTTGTAGCAACAACCAAGCATCTCCTAAAGTTGCCTGGTTTCGATAGTAAACTTTGTTAAAATGAAGCTGCCTCGTTATTAAAGCCATCCCTTCAATTGAAACTACTAAGTTCGTGGTTCGTGAGGCTTTAGAGTTGTCAATAGAGAACAACTTTAGAATAAACAAAAATTTAGAAAAAAATACGTTTTTGTGTATTATATTGAAGTTATATTGGTTTGGAGTCGTTATTTTGTGGAAAGTAAAGTTACTCACTCTTCTTTTTGGTTCCTCCTAGTTTCTCGACTGTGGCCAATGTGGGGTTGAGGTTGAGGGCGCGGAGCATGTCTCCTAGGTTGACAGCGTCGACGGTACCATTTCCTTCGAAGTCGTAGATGGAAAAGACGAAGTTGGCCCCTAGTAATAAAAAAATGTAAATGACTGTAATGTAACACGTGTCTCGCTAGAAGTATTAGCCTTAGGGTATGCGGAAAAAAGATTATTACCAAAGAGGCACTGAGAGATTGCTGGAAATTATTTTCAAGCTCCCAGGACGATTGGTAGAGGGCGTAACTGCTACGTCTAATAAGAAGATGGTATTTTGACAAAATTTTACCCAGGTAAAAGGTATTATAAATATTGGCATCATAATATTTAGCAAATTTACGTTATTTTTGTTTGAATCAATTTGCCCTATCTGCTAAAATAAATTGGTTGGTTAGATCTGTTTTCGTTTAAACGTTAATAACTCCGGACTGGGTAATCACTGCTCTATATTCTACCGTTGATTCTACCTTTTAAAGAATAAAAATATGTATTTCACAGTAGAAGTTAGGGGGATCTGTATTACAATTTACCAAATATTGCGCGATTTTCCCAAAATTTTAAATACAACAGCATGTTTAACTTTAGCTTATAACAAAGAGGAATAAGTGGATAAAAATCTAACAAAAAACACATCTTGATAACTTTTTTCTAACCGCAGATACTAGCAAAAATATATGCCTTTAACTAACTTATTTTTAAAACACGGTATCAGAAGCGCCCTTGATTATGACCATTCTAATAAATTATTTTATTTTATTGCCAATGACAATGAACGACAAACGGTGACTCATGGTAGCAATGAATTCATGGTAAGCTTTGGAAAAAAAGTGACATTTGAAGTAATAGTTTAAACGTCAAAGTATTATTAAAACAAAATTTTGGTCGTCCCAGGAGCGTTTTGTATCATTTGATTTTTTTTTCAAATTGCCTCTATTACTTGGAGAAACGGTTAACATAAGCGCGATATACTTTGAATAGTTGGGCCATAGAGTAAATGATAGTTGTTTTTAGTAATCTTACTCATAAAAGATTGCTATAATGATTCTGGCTCAAAGGAAGAGATAAATATTGATGGGTTTAGCTCGGTTAGCTATAAATATTTTTGATAAATTTGATGAAATTTTTTTATTTATGTGAAAATGCATCCGTATATTTGATACCAATTAAACTTATAGTTACGTAATCGAGGGAGCAATTTTTAAATTAATTGTTGCATGGCAACATGGCAATATTCGTCGCCGGGCTGACTAGTGGAATTTAAATTTCCCGCTGGGTATTCATCAGGTGGTAGCTCTGCTGTAAAAATGTCAAGTTGCCGCATTTATTTACACTTCTATTAAATAAATAGTGTTGTGATATTTTAATCTTAAAAATGTTCACTAGCAGACCTTGCAGTCGAACATTGTTCTTTTTAGAACCTCTTTTAGTGCGAAGTGTACAAGATAGCTTAATAGCCGTAAAAAACTCATCGCAACTTTATTAGAATATTTTGAACTATTTATTTTTATGTCCGTTAAGTGCTGTTAAGGACGTGAGTTTTGTTGATGTAAATAATAACTGTTTATATATTTATAATTAATTTATTTTTGTTGCTTAAAATATTTTGATTAAAAGAAAATATATAAACGCTGTGCCGGTCAAGTTTAATCACGTGACTAAAAGTTTATTTGATATGAACTGTATATCCGTTGCAGAAATTGCTTTGTCTGAAAGATCTATCGTTGTTTTTTATCGAAAAACTTCCCAAAAAATCATTATTGAAATGGAACAATCTGGGTTAGTGTGTGACGAAGGCAAACAAAACACCTTCTCTTATAGCGGGCCGCCTGGCGAGCTCTATTTTTGGCCGTGCCGCCTCTCCGGATTCAAATCGGCCGCCCATCCTAACCTTATATGATCCGGCCGATATAATTTTAGATCGCGTTCGGGAGAAACACGAAAATATTCGGCACCGGCCCAAATCCCAAACATTCCAAAGTGCGTGTATTATTTCAAATAAGAAAACGTAAATACACTATATCCCGCTTATTTAGTTTTCCAAGTTGTTTTCCTAAATTTTAATTGTATACCGGGTGCGTCTCCAAGGTGGCTCACCCCTATAACTTTTTTATTTTTTTAGATAAAAAAACGAGATTTGGTATGTTAGTATATGACATAAATTAGGATTGATTGACGTATTCTATTGTTTTTAGTCACTTATTCGATAGAAAGTGACAGTGAATAGAATGACATATCATATAATAGGTATGTCAACTTTTGACATTTTCGCTTAAAACAAAAACGTAGTTTAAATTTCAATTTAGAATGCCATGACTGTGTTGAAAACACTAATTTTTAATCAAGGAGCCTTGGAAAAATAGATTTGATCGTCTAATGTCTTGTCCTGGCCAGTTAAAATCTCCCAATCGTATTTTTAGCCGTATTTCATTTTTTTTTAAATGGAACAAGGGTGGTTCATTATCATATTTGGGAAAAGTATTTTTTTACGAATAATTAGGTACCATACACTTGGTATTTTATGTCAAATTGTCGTTATGAACCGCATGTTGCAATTTCAAATAAGCCATTTGCAAAAATATCAAAAGTTGACATAATATGATATGTCATTCTATTCAAAGTGCTATTTTCTATCGAATAAAGTAACAAAATATCGAGGGTGTCATTTAAAAATCAAAAGTCGTAGTCATTTCCGGTGAAACAGGAAGTGACCAAAAACAATTGAATACGTTAATTAATTCTAATTTATGTCATATACTAACATACCAAATCTCGTTTTTTTATCTGAAAAAATAAAAAAGTTATAGGGGTGAGCCGTTTTTGAGACTCACCCGGTATTCTTTTATTCTATTATTAATTGACAGGTATATTATTAAGGTGTATAGTACCCAGTTTTAGAAAAATGAATGCCGACATTGTTATACTGTAATCAAAAAAATACTTTATATGAGGCGCCAAATTACAAAACCCGCCTTATCCGAATTATTTTTGTTTTCTCTTTTTAAAAAATAATTATTAATTTTTATTTCTAGAAAAACGAGACACAAAACAATGATTCCACTCAATGGACATGTTTTTTGTAAAATAACGCTTCAAACATTTGCTAAAATAGTTTTTGCATATTATTTCCAAAACAACATTTTTGGAATACGACGGGTTTTCCAATTTGACGCCTTATATATTGTCTTGAACTATAGTTGCATAAATACTGCTGAGTTTTACTTTGTAAATGCACTTAGAAAAATGGTCACAAGACACAAGTCATAAGTTTTATTTTTCAGGAAAAGTTTTATTTTTCAGGAAGGGGCGGTCTGCCCCCGGGCCCCGTCTTTTAGGGGGCCTCCGAATCTTAATAAGTCATTTTTTATTCAACTGGCAAACAAGGCCAATATGTTCAGTAGTTATAAAGCAGTTTGTAGGTGGAGTATGCAAACCATATGTATACGCCAACTATAAACAGTATAAATGGAATGGCAGATATTTACTTAATTATCAATCAGGTCCCAGTAATTGTCAATGACATTTTCTATTTAGGAAATTAAATCAAGGGGTAATTTTCTTTGATTAAAATATCGAATAATTATTATTTTTTCTATATTTTGAGACTGAATTTAGTTATTTTAGATTTTAAGTTATTTTTCAATGGTTTCATTATTTATTTTTACTGAATAAACATTTTAAATTACAACCAATGCACACCATAACTTGTGTTCTAGCTTCATTGCTGATGATGAGCAGTGAAGTCTATAGTTTAACGGGGGCCACTGGTCTGAGACAGCGAAGGGGCCCCTCGGATCTTGGAGGACTTACAAAATCGCGATATTTTGTCGCGGTATTTCCCTGGAAGCATTTTTAAGAAAAAAATATTTAAAATTTTTGGACGAAAAAAACTACATGTCAAAAAAATTTGTACAGCCTAAAAGTCAAAAATTTAGTGATTATCACAGCCCCTATGACATAAAGAAAAGAGTAAAGCGATTAAAAAATTATCATAAATAATTTCTTTTCAAATGGAAACACACTTTTTTATTTCACTAGTGAAAAGGTTTTCAAATTCGTTACGTTTTAACTAGACATATTCCTATACCTAAAATAAATCGTTTTTAAGTTATTTAAGATTTAGTTTAAAAACGTATATTTTTCTTGATTTTATCTAGCTTCCTTTGACATTAAGTGTCAAACAGTTAGACAATTTATTTCCATCTGTCAGAAAATGAATTATTTGAATTTCCTATATTATAACTACTGCCTGCTTAAAAGTTTAAAAAGTGTATTTATATAAATATATCTCCATATTTTCGTTCTTTAGAGTCAATCTAATAGTTGATATTTTAATAATATACCGTACGATCGAAAAAAAAACAGCGCAAAGCTAGGAAATGATGATCTAGGAAATGATAATATACTGTCATATAGACTACTGGTAAAAAATCAAGAAAAATATACGCTTTAAAGCTAAATCTTAAATAACTTAAAAACGATTTATTTTAGGTACAGGAACATGTATAGTCAAAAAGTAACAAATTTTAAAAACGAAAGTAACGAAAGCCTTTTCACGAGTGAAATGAAAAAAGTTGATTTCCATTTGAAAAAAAAATGATTTATGATAATTTTTTAATCGCTCAATTCCATGACAGCTGCGGCCATTATTATATGACATTCGGACAATTTAATTTTTGACATAGATAGCCACATGTCTTCTCTTTATGGTACAGTGGCTGTGGCAATCACTAAATTTGACGTTTAGGCTATATACATATTTTTGACAGGCAGTTTTTTTCCTCCAAAAATTATAAATATTTTTTTTTCTCAAAAACGGTTAACGTTAGGTGGTATAGAGTATTTAATATCAAAATTCATAAAATTTTACAGAGAACTTAAGTATGTAATAAAAAATGGAGTCACCCATTTAAAATAAGAAAGTTGCTGTCAACTTCCGGTACTTCCGAAAGTGCCGCCATATTGAAAATATTTTTAATCGATAGATCTCATTGTGAAATAATGATATGCACAAAATCTCCTATTTAGATATTGTAGTTCTCTAGAAACTTCTAACGCAGACTCAGCCTGGGACACCCTGTATAAATACTTGAATTTTGTCAACCATTATACATACGTCATTCAATTTTTACAAAATGTGCATTAGAAGCATATCATTATCTAAACAGACCGGGGGCCACATTTAGCATCGCCGCCCCGGGCCCCCGACACTCTTAGTCCGCCACTGCCGATGATAAACTCTGGCCAAAGATCTATATGGAATTTTGACTTTGAAAATTATATGACTGGAGAATACAATATAGAGACAAGAATGAAATAGAAAAATGAATGATTTGAAATATAAAATTAAATTCTACTTACTTTCAACGTCTCTAGCACTGAGATCTGCCTGAAAAAGATAAAAAATAAATCAGATTTTGTTTTTATTTCTTTCAATCACGTGATTCAAAATGATTAAAGTCACTTCTAATTATAAAGAAAACATATACATAATTTTAATAAATATTGTTTCACTAAGAACTGTTTAAAATCATGTTAAAGTGACCAAAATCATTATTGAGTTTTTGTTTTTATTTTTTTACAAAATAGTTATTAAGAATAAATAAGTTAAAAACGTAGACGTCACAGACATTTTAATTTGTATTAAGCCATACGTGGAACTACATAGAACTACATACATAGTTATTAAATTTTGTATTGGGGCAAGGTGTTTCTAATTTTCTATGTTTTATTATTCAAAATCATTCGAAACTAATATAATAATAAAGTTTTAAAATAGAATTGCTATTATACCTCGATCTTGTACGTAAGAGATGAAAATAGATATCTTTGACTGACACAATTTTAAAAACATATCGAATTTGGATGTGTTCCAGATTTTCGAGTAAAATTACAACATCCGTTTGGAAAATATTGTTTGAACTAGCATTATATTTTATCTCGTTCCCAACTATTTTCTCATTAATCAATTTAATAAGACCTAGTATATCTTGGATAATAAGGTAAGTATTCGAGAAAAGTATATATTTTAAGTACTTAACTAGGTATAGTGCTATGTCTACATCTGTTTTTTTTGTTTTTATATTTTTTTTTGTCACCTTGACCCAATACAGAATTTATTATATAAAAAAGCACAAAAAACATAAATAAGACTAAACACAACTCGGACGAAGGGTACTAGCAAAAAGACAGTTCACAATTTGGTACAACCGACACATAATCTATCTATCACCAATTTCAAGTACCTCCGAACCCTACTATCGCATATTGTCCTGTTTCTGAAAGAAATCGCAATATTTTTAGCAGCAATCGACTAATTCAGGAAGATATTAAAGAGTTTGGCTTGATAAGTCTGAGCAATATTTTAGAATGGCCGAAAATCTTGGATGGAATTAAGTGTGGATGATCTGTTAATAAAAGAATGGTGTTGATGGAATGATTTTAACAAAGGTAAAATTTTATATTAAAAAATCGCCTGATATTCCATAGAGATATTCCAGACTTTTTTTAGTCAAACAAGGGAAATCTTAGTAGTACAAATGTATAAGGATGTATGCCTGAAATAACAAAAGGGTTCTACAAAAAGGTAGAGTGGATAAGACAGAAGAGCATGGGGTGTCCTCCAACGGTCTAAGACACACGAAAAAGTTCCTCAGAACTTACGACCGAGAAAAATCAAAAGTTTTCTTTGATTGAAGTAAAAACAATCTTCGGATTTTCACGGGGTTTCTAACAGGACACTGTCTCCTCAACAAACACCTCAGTAGGCTGAAGCTGAAAAACAACGGCGAATGTAGATTCTGTGGGGAAAATGGGGAAACACCAGAACACCTTATCACTGAGTGCGCCGAGACGACGACCGTTCGTGCCATGAACTTTGATACGGTTGATATCGAGGATGGAGAGCTGGCCTCTGTGGAGCCGTCGCAGATACTGGCTTTTGTTAATGCCCTGATACTGTATGATGAGTTATAACTCGTTATAACTTAAGAAAGGAGAACACACAATAGATCTGTAAGGTAGCGGAGATTAACTCCCCTCCTAAACATTCTACATTCTACAGAAGAGCAAGGTTAGTGACGTGATCTACAGAATTAAAAGTCTCGAATGGCAACGAGCCAGTTACCTAATGAAAAGGAGTGACGTAAGATGGACCACAAAAATTATACTGTAGTTTCCAAGATGTAAAAAAACAAGAAGACCTAATTTAAGATGGGATTACTATATTAGAAAACAAGCACAAACGAAAAACATGCGGGCAAGTGAAACAAAATTATGTAAATGAGGCATCATTGCAACGAACGATAGCATAAAGCTGAATATGATGATGATAATGATACTTATTACAAAGTTTGTGAATTTGGGGAAAAAATCAAATCATCTTTGCACGGACTTATCAAGCCATCAGCCTTTTTCAATAGGCTTGGTGATTTTTTCGGATCAGTACTATTTTGGACTTGAAGACTTTGCGCTTCCAGTACTTGATGGCCTTGACGTAAACGGGTTCGCCGACGTTTATTTTCGGCAGGGGTATATGGGGAGTGGTGTAGCTACTGGTCGGGTTCTCGTCAATCTCGGCCGCCACCCGCTTGATGAAGTCCTGCAGGTCGTCGGAGATGTCCACGACGGACACCTTGCGATCGAGATCGCCGCCGTCCACGTCGGGTTCCGTCTCAGTAACGGTAGCCATGGCTGGTCAGAGCGAAAAAAAGGCGTTGGTGCGGGCGGTTTATTTTTCAAGTTACAAAAAATTGGTTGATGCGGGCGGTACATTTTAAACCGGCGGTATAATAAAATAAACCGGCGGTATGATAAATAAACCGGCGGTATAATTTAAAAAATAGGAGTAATTAAGTGTTATAGGACATAATTAGGTCATAAAATTTATTTGTTAAAGTAGTTTGATCAAATATTTAGTGTAAATTAAATCAAAGTAAAAAAAATCACTTATGATGATGACTACGTTAATCAAATATATTTTTTTAAGTTTATTGAAATATCTGTGTCTTAAATATCTGTGCCAAGTAGTTAATGTTAAATATCTCCTAGGTATACAGGGAGGATCTAAAAATAAAAATTGGCTCAAAAATGTAGTGGCCTATTTGTTGAAAATGAGTAAAATATGATTTAATTAATAATTATACAGGGTCTCTGAAGTAAGTGCAAGACTTTTTTAACGGAGTGTAAGATCGTTTTTAAAATAAATTGAAAATAACCGAGTTAACTTTAAAAATTTAAGGCATGGTGTTAAAAAAATAAGTATAGGGCGTTTTAATACAGTTATTAATAATGTTACTGTGTAGGGAATTAAAATTACTATAAACACATATAAACACTCAAATATGGAAGAACGCGTGTAACGTATGAGGTGGCAACATTGTAAGCCTTCGATACACCATCAAGAAAATTCAGGAGAATGAATTTGTTAATTTTTTGGATTTTCGGAAAAATATACAATTTTCAACAATTTTTTTGTAAAAATACTCTCATGAGCGTGTTTCTTTAGTCCCAGGTATAACTTTAACCAGTTAAAATACTTGCACTTATTTAAAAACCACCCTGTATAGTAATATCGATAAATAATTAAAATATTTATTAATAATAATAAAAATCGATTTTCAGTAAAACTGTGTGAAATATAACGAACTTTCTGAATAAGTAAATGTTATTCAAATATTTTATGTACTGTATACAGAGTGAGTCTTAATAAGTGCAAATATTTTTAGGGGTAGTATAATTCGACACCAGAAACACGTTTATCAGTTTTTTTCCTGAAAAAAAAATTGGAAATTTGGAGTTTTTTTGGAAATTTTTTTAATTTTTAGTTAAAAAACATAATATTTTCAATAGTATGGCATTATAAGTAGTATATTAAGTTAACAAGAAAGAAAACCCAGAAAAGACCCAGTGATTCTCAAAATTTAAGCAAAAATTCAGTTTTTTTTAATTTTCAAAATAAAATATCTTGGTTATTTTAGACTTATTTGAAAAATGGTAAAGAAAAAATATGTTTCTTTTATCGAGATGCAGCCCTGAAAATATTTGCACTTATTTAAAACTCACCCTATATATAAAAATCTCTTTTCAATAGACAACCTTTCCAAAAAAACTTTAATTATAGAATTTATGAATTTTTGATCACGTAAGAAGTAATTTAATTTGCTTTAATATATATGGTTCAATAAGAAAATAGCTAAAAAACTCTAATTTTAGCCCAGCAATTACCCAGAACACACCTTAATACTCCCACGCAAAATCGCAAAAAATACCGCCCGCACCAACGCCGAATCGAACGCGACACGGGTAAAAAATGTTTAGAGGCGCAGAAACCGCAACCGTGACGTTGCCAAATCGTGCGAAAAATCTGGAGGAGCGGCGACAGCGGGACGCGCTTCAACAACCATGCACTTAGCTCAAAGGGCGAAATCGACTTACCATGGTGCGTGTGGTCGGACTGGTGACTTGCCTTCTGTCAGTTGAAACCAGAAGTGGAGCCGGGCGTAAAGAGAGGACGGAGTTTTATGTTTCGTAGATGGCGCTGCGAGGACGATCGGCCTGAAACTGACACCGGCCCGGGCGGACGCTTATTGCGGCATCGTGGCGGCGGTGGACGTCGCCAGGGCCGTACTGCAAACATTCTTTTACATGTAACTTAAATCTTTTGCAAAATATTCTCATTTATAGGTTTTGCAATATTGTTTACAATTTCTTTGATTTTTTTTCAAATAACCGGCTGTCCTGTACCGGAAACACGGTGACGTATTATGTGCTCCGCTGTTTCAGGACAGAGTTTTTCTATTATAGAGTCTGCAGCAAAGACTTCTTTGATACAGGTTGAGCTTGTTCAGGTATCACTTGACAGCCATCTGTTGTGTCAAGAGACCTTTATGATCCGCATATTATTCCTGCTAAGCATTAGCCATAACTTTGTAGTTTTAGAATTATGGCTTTGGATGAAGGCCTTGCTACGCATGTACCCTTGTCTGTTTCTCCAGTGGACATTCTGCTTCTTCCTGATCCAGAGATATACTTCCTGGGTTATACATTTGGGTATTTCCAGTACTGGCTCTAGACCAAGACAGGGTTCCAATGATCCTTGCCTAACTAATTTATAGGCTTTTTCGTTACCTTGGATGCCACTGAAGCCCGGTACCAAAAATAATTTAATTCTGTTCCTTTCTGCCAAGGCTTCCAGTTCAACCAGCCATTCTCAGACGAGTTTCTTTGAGGTTGCTTTTAGTTTGTTCCTTCTGAGACTGAACCATATCTAATGTAGTTCTTTCCTGACCTGTAGGTTATATTTTCCAGTCTTATCCTTTTTAAAAAGTCTGATAAATTGGAGACTAAACCTTTCATATTATTAATGGCTTCTTTCTTTCTATTTATCTAATCTTCTTCGGTCTATCGGTGGCCATAGGCCCCTCTAATCTCTTCCACATTTCCCTGTCTGTCGCCACGTGCATCCATCTAGTTCCTGCATGTTTCTTCAGATCGTCCGACCACCTTATTATCTTGCATCTTTTATTTTTCCAGGGCTTCCAGTTTATAATGCATTTGTTCATCGATGGTTTTTTTGTCAATGGACATAAAAAGTGTTAGTTTAATCGTTTCTTCTTCTGACCAACAAAATCACAACGTGGCTTCGTCGTAGTAGCTCCACTACAGTTTCGACAGTCTTCTTGTCTTTGTATCTCAGGCCTGCCGTAGATTTTGGCAAATGTTCCACTATGAATTATTTACCTGCCTCTGTCCAGGTGACTTTTTTTACCATTCTAGAAATCTTTTGGCCAGCTACTGTTATGTGACTATTCTTCTAATTGCTTCTGCAGCACCACAGAAGGTTTCTGAACCTATAATCGATATTTCCATTCCTTTTCGTTGCACTTTTCTAACGAATAATATCGTTGCTAGAGGATGCACATACTCCCACGCTAGTCTAGAATTGACCTCTGTGAAATCGAGTTTTTAGTGGTGTTTAGCTATTTATGAAGATGGCAAATAAATGCTTTGTTAACTTGCCTTTTTTATTATACCTACCTCACTAATAGATTGTCGTTATTTCCTCTTGAAGAAATGTGATATCCTTGAATAAAAAGCAAATCCATTCTTTCTTTTAGAGCTTTTATTCCAGCTCTCCCCCCTCTCCTTCCTTAGCCTACTGACATTCTTGAGACGTCTGTATACTAGATTTCTTCAGTGGCACACCCTTTATCAAGTTTTCCAGCCTTTTGAGAAGCTAACTTCTGCCACATCTCACTGGGAGATAAATACAGGGTGGCCCATCGAAAACGTTCCGCAAGGCATAACAGCCAGGGTATTTATTTTTTCAAAAAATCCAAAAACACGTCAATTTTGTTTGTGAGGGGGACAACTTTTGCCCCAAAAATGATTGCAAAATCTTCAACCCTCTAAACGGGGGTGTCATCCCCCAACTTTTTTCAAATGCGAAGGGGGGTCAAGTGGCGCCGCAATGAAAAGAGTTTTCTATTCTCTATATTTCCCCGCTTCGTTTTTGAAAATCGGTAGAGTCATTGAGAAAATATGAAGGATTGAAATTTGAAAAGTTTATTTAAGCATTTATCAGAGTAAATGATAATTAAGGATAAATTCGACCAATTTGCTGTTTTTTTCTTATTATATCTAGATGTTTATGCATTTTTTCCCTTGCCACAACGTTGAACGATCAGGTGCGGTAGTTGCTAGATAGCTGTTCTGTGACTTGTACGTTGAAGTTCTTCTCAATATCGTTAAACTGACCTACAATAGAATTTCCAAAAATACCAGCCCACACGTTAAATTTCTGAGGGTTTTGTGTGTGCACCTCGTGAAAAACCTTGGGGTTGTCCTCAGCCCAGTACCGACAGTTGTGCCGATTAGTTAATCGGCACAACTGTCGGTACTGGGCTGGGTAGTAGTAGTTACACCGTTCAAAAAGAAAGTACACTCGTCCGAAAAACACACATTAAATAGGAAATTATTATCATTCGCCACTCGTTCACTCATAGTTTCACAAAATTGCAAGCAACGATCAAAATCTTCTTCGTTGAGTTCTTGTACCAACTGAATTTTGTACAGGTGGAACTTTTGTTTTTTTAATATCCGTTGGAAACTTATACGATTCCCGCCAGTCTTATTGGCTAATTTTCTTGTACTCAGAATACTGTCCATGGCAACTTACCCCAATACGAATACCTCCATAGCTTCATTTACTACAGGATTTTCCCTCTGCCTCTGTTTATTCATAACGGAACCAGTTTCGCGAAATTTTGCTACTAACTGGCGAACAATTTCGCCATAAAGGTGTTTTTCAGGATGGCGTTCATTGAATATCTGCGCAACCCGATTGCAAACATCTAGAAATAATAAGAAAAATACAGCAAGTTGGTCGAAGGTATTTATCCTTATCATTTACTCTGATAAATGTTTAAAAAACTTTTCAAATTTCAATCCTTCATATTTTACCAACGACCCGACCGATCTTCAAAAACGAAGCAGGAAAGTATAGAGAATAGAAAGCCCTTTTCATTGCGGTACCACTTGACCCCCCTTCCTATTTGAAAAAAATCGGGGGATGACGCCCCTGCTTAGAGGGTTGAAGATTTTGCAATAATTTTTGGGGCAAAAGTTGTCCCCCTCACAAACAAAATTGACGTTTTTTTGAATTTTCTGAAAAAAAAATTACCCTGGCCGTT